TATATGTTATGTTCATACTTATACTTGTTTTCTCATACAAGCTTGACAAACTACCTAATTAAAAATAAAATAAAATAAAGAACAAAGAGTGGCATCCTATCAAAAGTATGATTGAACCCTCTCCTCAAAAGTCATTTTAAAAGTTGGTAACTACTGCCTGGAAATACTGCAGAGATTCATTCAGTTTTTAAACAGGGATTGGGGGAAGACTCAACATATAGGCCAGTGTTTCTCAGCTTTGGCAGCTTGAAGATGTGTGGAGAATGACTGGAGAATTCTGGGGATTGAAGTCCAAATATCTTCAAGTTGTCAAGGTGAGAACCTCTGTTATAATCCATTAGATTAGTGTCTGATTTGGGCAAATTGATGGAAAAATATTTTCATCAACCTATTTATGTTTTTAGAGAATGTGAATGTTTAGAGAAAAAGAATTTGGAAGAAATGATCCCATTGATGCAGTTTGCTTGAACTTTAAAAAAAGGCTGTGATGAAGTCCTTCATCAAAGACTCCGAAGTTAAGATTGTGATTATGGGTAAGGGGACTTTATGCTGAAGGCTATGAACAGAAAACAAAGTATAGGAATAAACTGACATTTTCCTCAATGTGGACAAGCAAGAAGTGAAATCCCCCAAGGATCTGTGTTGGCTTTTTAACTTATTTATTAATTATTTTGATTTAGGGATAAGTAATGAGCTAGCTAAGCCTACATATGATATCAAATACACAAGCACGCACTTTTAGTGAACCACTAGATAGCCTGTGCCCCATTAGGTCATTGTTTCAGAGATATTTCCTTACATAAATAGAGAAACAGGATGCTACATGTGGGCAAAAAAGCAGTGGGAGCAGGGGCAATTTCTGACTTCTTGCTGGCTTCCCCACTGAGTTTTCTTGTGGGAGACTGGTAGGCACCATCAGAAATCTCCCTCCCTCCCTCCCTTCCTCCTTTCCTTGCTTGCTTGCTTGCTTCCTTCCTTCCTTCCTTCTTCCCCATTTACTTTGCTTGTGGTCAGCAAGCAAAGTTGGACAAGCCAGCTGGAAGTTGCAGGTCCAAAGCCAGTAGGCAAATAAATGACTGCTACCTGGGAAGGGAAGCAAGGGAGTGTGCTGGATGCAAGTCAGGAATTGTATATGGGGTATGAAAGAGGAGCTGCACAGGCCAGGAAGGGTTTGTAATGATATGTGCAAGAGAAGTCATATGGGTCATGTAGGGTGTATGAGTAGGAAGTGGCATGGATCATGAAGGATGCATCGAGATTGCTGGGAGCTTTGAGAGAGGCCCTGTGAGTTAGGTATGGCGTGTGTAGAAATAGAAATAGAATAACAGAATTGGAAGGGACCTCTGAGGTCTTCTAGTCCAACCCCTGCCCAGGCAGGAAACCCTACACCACTTCAGACAAATGGTTATCCAACATCTTCTTAAACATTTCCAGTGTTGGAGCACCCACAACTTCTGGAGGCAAGTTGTTCCTCTTATTAATTGTTCTAACTGTCAGGAAATTTCCCCTTAGTTCTAAGTTGCTTCTCTCCTTGATTAGTTTCCACCCATTGCTCCTTGTCCTACCCTCTGATGCTTTGAAGAATAGTTTGACTCCCTCTTCTTTGTGGCAACCCCTGAGGTATTGGAACACTGCTATCATGTCTCCCCTAGTCCTTCTTTTCATTAAACTAGACATACCCAGTTACTGCAATCGTTCTTCATATGTTTTAGCCTCCAGTCCCCTAATCATCTTTGTTGCTCTTCTCTGCACTCTTTCTAGAGTCTCAACATCTTTTTTTAGTGTGTGTGTGTGTGTGTGTGTGTGTAGGGAATGAGAGATGCTGTTCAGGTCAGAGTCATTCTATGGGGGTAGGATTATATGGGTTGGGCAAAGTGCATGGGGTATGCAACAGGGGCCATATGGGTCAGGGAAGACACAAGGAATGAGTTGGTGACAGTGTATGGGGATGTATAAGAAGTTCAGGTTGGGAATGGCATGTAGTGGGGTAGCATGAATTGGGAGAGTGTATGGGAAGGAATGGGCCAGGAAAGGTGGGGTTTGGGTTCCTTTCCTTTCCTTTCCTTTCCTTTCCTTTCCTTTCCTTTCCTTTCCTTTCCTTTCTTTCCTTTCCTTTCCTTTCCTTTCCTTTCCTTTCCTTTCCTTTCCTCTCCTCTCCTCTCCTCTCCTCTCCTCTCCTCTCCTCTCCTCTCCTGTCCTCTCCTAACTGCACAATGAGCAAAATTAAACTCTACAATCCAGTCCCACAAGATATGGCAATGATCATTACCTTGAATGAAATTACAAAGGGTTTGGATGAATTCATGGAGGACCACACTATTATGGCCTATGAGACTTGAAATTACAATGTTGTCACTACGCTGGAAAAAGCAGCATTCCAAATACCAGTTGTAGAAGAACAATTATGACAGAAGAATATCTTCTACTGAGAAATTCCCACAGAGATATATAATTGCTCGTTGTGAAAAATAAAACGATGGATTGACATGGTCTTTAACCTGAACCAAGAAGGCTGTTACATGTTATTATTTAAAAATAGAAAAATTGGAAAGGGCATGTTTGCCTACAAATTGGAATCAGAGGAAACTTTGATCAAGAGTGTGAAATTCTGACACCAGTCTTATTTCAGCAGCTTTGAGACCACAGAATTACAGAGGATTCCAGACAGATTTGGAGTAATATAAAAAATTAAATTATTTATTGAATTAATAGGAAAAAAAACTTGCATCCCGTAAATATTTTTTGAAAATTTCTGCATCCATTATTGTGCACCTGTCCAGAACCAAATGCATGTGTTGAGATAAATCACTTAGTTTTATTTATTAATCTCACTTTTCTTTGATGTTAGGAGTAGATGAAACTGCTTAGGTGAGAATACCAAGTGTGGGAGCAGTAAAATCAACCCAGCATCAATTTCTGGACATGTTGTGGTTCAGTAGAGCTAATGGGCTCACTCTACCATCTTTCTTTTTAATTCTTCTTTAAACAGATGGGTTTAGAGATCAGTTGAGCTGACATGAGAAATTTTGTTTAATGTTAAAATCCTGCTTCTTCTCAATTGCCACTAAACATTGACGAAGAAAGCTGCTTCCCCTCCTCTAAAGGTTATTAAGCTCAGTCTAAAATGATGGAATCCTGCCTCTGTGAAAAGGAACAAGAAAACTTGTAATTATGAACTGTGGAAATGCATCAGGTGAACCACTAATCCCCTAGGTTTTTTAAAAGGCCAGTGTAGATACCTTAGATAGCCTTATGTAAGTATACGCTAGCAAATACTGTAAAGGAAAGTCAGATGCCTTCATAAATTCTGTCTCCTTTCTGTCGGTCCCCTTTCCTTCAACTTTTCATTCTATAAAATGGTACCATAGGAAATACTCTTTTGAACAGCGATTAGTCTCCTTCTGGTGGCTTTTATCACTATGAATCCTGATTCCGAATTGTTCAAGACAGTTCTGTGAGTAGAAAAGGCTCCCAAACTTATTTTTTTTAATTAAAAGACACCATTCAGTCACACGAGCCCCATCTTCTTCCATCTGAAGTGATACAATTCTGATAGAGATCAATTAGTACAGTAAGGCTAGATCTAAGAGTGTAATTCTGAAAATGCAGGACCTAGTGGAGGCTCTCCTTGCCTTTTGATTGTTCAAAACTTATGGGAGAACTTGAGATGAATCTCTTGTATACTTTAACAAAAGGAAAAAAAAGATGTTATTTTGCCAGTATGAAAGTTGAGAATGTTCTTTTTTCATAGCTGCTGGCACAAAGTACATGATATCCTATTTAGAATTAAATCCTATTTTTCTTCAGCCCTGTGCCAACATCCATGTATGAGCAAACCAAAAGACTTGAGGGTGCAAATCAGTGGTGGGTTCCTCCCGGTTCGGTCCAGTTCCGCCGAGCCGGTAGCGGTGATATGACATCACCGAACCGGTTCTCCCCCCCCGCCCTCCCACCCCCCCCACGTTATTCTTACCTTTTATTTGGTCCCACCCCCAATCTATTGCTGCCTCCAGAGTCCCACCTGATGACTAGAGGGAAAAAAACCTGTTTAAACTCTTGCCGCGGGGCTTCAAAGGGCCGTCCTACAGCTGATCAGTGTTAAAAGCAAACAAATGAGTCGGGTCATAAGTGCGAGGACCTGGTCGTAAGTGTGAGGACTTTCCAGAAATGACTCTGACCAGCTAGCCACGCCCACCTAGTCACATGACCTCCAAGCCACACCCACAAAATAAGCCACGCCCACAGAACCGGTAGTAAAAAAATTTAGAACCCACCCCTGGTGCAAATGCAGTTTATTTCTTTGAGGGACATTCCACAGTGCCACTTTCAAAGTTCCTAAAGCTCTCAAGCATGTCTACTTCCTAACTTGGAACAAAATGGTCATGCAAAATGAGAATAATGGTCCTATGAGCATGGCACTTAAATAATAAATTAACCTCTTTTCAAAAGCATAGAACTAGTATATGTTCTTTGGATCTACCATTGTATTAATAGTGCTAATCAATAAACAATGTTGGTGTCTTAATTTTCTGATAACAACAATTAATCCTGTTCCAAAGGCTAAATCTTAGGATTTGAAGAATTCTAACTAGTCCTTATTCAGAAAAAAAGTGTTTCTAGGTTCATAGACTATTCTTAAATAAATTATTCTTACACTGAGCATCTACTTTCTACAGTTAAAAATGCATTAAATTAAGCCTGGGTAAGATTTAAGAAAGTTCAGCATCCTTCTGAGAAATAAAATATAAATGGGCCATAAAAAGGGTAATTGCATGATAACTGAACCAATAAATAATAAAAAAAATGTTATTCTATTTCCTGAATGTTAGATTACAGGTATTACAATGAAAAATTCAGGTCTGTTTACTTTCTGAAGTTAATAAACATTGTACAAACACTTGACCCCTCCTTCTCCTCCCTTCCGGTGGGATGGATTGCGCCAATGGGCATTATATAAAGAAAGGCTGTAGACTGGCTCCTGCCTTGCATTTGTAGCCACCATGGGGCCAGAGGTGACCAGCCTGTTGTTGCTAGGGCTGGTACTTTGCTATGCAAGTGAAATTAAAACAGGTAAGTTGTTTAACAAATATGCTACAGATAAGTGGTCAATGGGCAGCCTAAAGAGCACTCAAGACTTGTTGTAATGCATGTCAGACAGGCTTTCAAGTTCTCCATTGATTACGTAGGGCTTGGAAAATATGGAAGGTATTGGGTGCTTGTAACAAGAGAATATTCTGCATGATGTGAATGAAAATATTGCCGATATTAAGGCATGGCACTTACGGTATTTACACAGAGTTTATTGAATCTATAGTCCTGCTATATTGTATTTTTTAAAGGATGCAAAGTGCATCTTATAACTCCTTAATTTAACAAAGTATCTAAGCATTTATTCTATGTAGAGTGACTGTTAATCTGGCCAATAGGATTCAGTTTCTATGAATGTGATCAATATTTACTACAGAACTTGTTAAACCAGACACACTTTGACTGTTATGTCAATTCTTTTGTTTAATTTTGTTCCATCTGCTGTTATCTCATTGAATTCTGATCAGTGATCATAATAAGCATAATATTAACAGTACTAGAAGGGAGGGTATCACTTTTGTACTATAACGTCCATTTCAGCACTGGGATACTGATTCTGATTTCTTCATTAATCTTCAAATGCTAAGGTCCTGCAAATAGAGCAAGACTTATCTAAATATCCCTACTGTTAATGAATATAACTAAAATCTGCAACTTTTTTTTAATTTTTAATTAAAAATCATATTTTATTTGGTATAAGTGGTAGCAATTTTGTTTTAAATCCTTCAGTATCGCACTACCATCCAAATGCATTAATACCTCACATTAATAGGTAACACTCTCCTTTTGCTTCCCATAGTACAAAGATCTTCTTATACTACAAAAAAAAGGCCAATATTTGTGCCTCTTTTTCATGTTCTATGTGTGCATATTTCTTGAGATGATGCAATCAACAATGGTAATATAAAATGCTAAAATTTCAGTCAAACATTTGATGCTGGCAAGCTTTCCCCATTGCAAGGCTGTTTAAATTGTTTATTTCCACTTAATTACTTAAGTGTCATTGATCTGGTTTTTTTTTCTTTTCTTCATAATAGTTCTTAATGGTTATTTGTCATCATATTTTTGTCTTTTCAGTAAGAAAATCTAACCACGGCCACTTTGTCTGCAGTACCTGGGGAAACAACCATTTCAAAACCTTTGATGGAGATTTTTACCAATTTCCTGGGGTCTGTGATTACAACTTTGCTTCAGACTGCCGAGAAACCTATAAAGAGTTCTCTGTTCATATCCAGCGTGAGCAGAATGGTCAAAGTCACCCTAATATCCAATATGTTCTCGTTACAATCAAAGATGTTGCTATTTACCTCACGCACAAGATGGTTGCAGTAGATGAGCAAATGTAAGTTCCTCTGATGTGGTTATGTTTCCAAGCATGCAACCTTTGAATTCTGAAAATCTTTCGCAAAAATTTCACCGTAGAAGCTTTAATATTGCAGAAGCTATGGCCCAAAACATTCAGAAAATACGTTGTGTAGAAACTCAAGTTACATTTTCAAAAGAAATGTTGCTTTGAGCAAAGTTTGAAGTAATGTTGGAATTCTTCAGAAAACTTTCAAGAGAAATAAAAAATAAGTTAGAATAAGAGATGTGAAATGACTTCGGGGAGTCTATACATACACAGGTCATCACCAGTTTTCAACTAACGCAAAATTTGGACTGAATTTGGGCATGATTATTCAGGAAAAACATCTGAGGCAACACAAGTTTTAGTCACTACTCCTAAGGCTTGCACATCTCTATTACTATTAAACATTCAGTGTAGAGCCTAATAATGAAGCTAGATTCTGGACTGCTGAACTTCAATATGCTTCAATATTATTGTCAGCAATTTCATTCTTAATCCAGAAGAAAATAATATTTTTCAACTTTTCATCTGGTCACATTTCACCCAATTGCCTTCCACATTCAGTCCTTCCTTATACTCACCTTGTTGACTTTTAGAACAATTGTTAATTAAACATTATAATGTCAACTTATAAAAATACAACTGAGACTGAGAAAGAAGTTGTACCGAAAGCTGCCAAGTGAAGTTATGTCCATGTTGATCCATTGCATAGGTTCTCTTTAGACCTAAACACTGGACTTTACTAGAATTCCATCTGTACCCTACAAGCAACAGCATAATGACCTTGATTTTCTATATGCTACAAACACTCCAATCTGACAATATCTACTGAGAACGTTTTCTTATATTATTAAGGGATTTTGACTTAAAATTGAATGGTTGATAGTCGAGATCTATCCAAGTTCATGTTGAATATAAAGCAGGAAGATTAGAAGTCTTAGAAGACTATACTAGCAGATTCAAAGTATTCCAGTTCTAGGGGGAAGGTCCCTTTTAGTCACTAGATATACTGGTTCTATATACTGGTATAGAAGCTTTAGTTGTTTTTCTCCTTTAGCATAGGTGAGATAAGTGATGGTAGCTTTTCTTCTTTAATTAGCATTTTACATTCCTGACCAGATTATTGAATTTTAAACCCATGGTAAATGTTGGGTAATTGGCTTAAGAAAACATATTCATTCTCTTAATGAATCTTAATATTTCTCTTTTCCTGTAATATGACCTGTTCCATTATTCTAGGGTTGACTAACATTTTACTTTGCAGCAAATCTCGCAAATGACTAGAAAACCTGTATATAAGATCCTGCCCAGCATAGCACAGGGGAAAAAAACCGTGTCTAAACAATTCTTTGCTCTTTTATCTCAGAAAAGGTTAAACACACACAAAGCCTATCACAGTCTAATATGATTACTGCAGCCATTGAAGTCTTGTTTATTCCAATCTGTTCTGTAGCTTTGCATTCAAGTACTTTCCTCCTGCTTTTCCCCACTGCTGCTAGGATGCCTTTCGATGGCTCTCCATATGTATAGGATGCTTCAGTAGTGAAATCCATTTTTTTTTACTATCAGTTCTGTGGGCGTGGCTTGGTGGGTGTGGTGTGCTTGGTGGGCATGGCAGGGGAAGGATACTGCAAAATCCCCATTCCCTCCCCACTCTGGGGCCAGCCAGAGGTGGTATTCTGGTTCTCCGAACTACTCAAAATTTCCACTACCAGTTCTCCAGAACCTGTCAGAACCTGCTGGATTTCACCCCTGGGATGCTTCCAACTAACCTGTTGATGGACTGAAAGAGAGAGAGTACAATTATTTCAGTAAACAAGGGAATATGTCTTAAAATTTTGCTAGCGGTAATCATACTTAGTGACTTTCCAGAAAGTTATTATTGGAATTAACCTGACTGGAACCAATTAACATTTGGTGTCTTTTAATATCATTTTTATTCCCTGTTACCAGATTTTCAGAGGTTTATGGAAGAGGCTAGTAACAACAGCCCACGTTTCTTTAAACCAAGGTTCTTTTTCTCACTGGCTATGCCGGCCAAATTTCTTCTAGCTCATAAAAGTATAATTTTACTGAAAAAGGGAACTGCTTCTAACAGTGTGTTTTTAATTGTTGGCTTGACTGAGCTATTAAGAATGCACAAATATGGAGCCAAACTCAGATACAATTTGGAGTGATGGGTGGGATCAAATCAGGCAACAATTCAAACATATTAAAATTCTGAAAACCCAGCTGTTTGGATGTAAAATAGACCAGAGGTACAATGTAATTCCTCTCTAGTTATAGAAATATGATTGACTTCTAATGCTTGAGCTGTCCATTGCAATGGTAACCAATGCATGTACTTTTCTGTCATCCTTCTCTACAGAGTAAAGACTCCATATTATGGTTCTGGTGTCCTGATTGAGATGAACAATATATATACTAAAGTCTATGCAAAAGTGGGCCTAATTCTGATATGGAACCAAGCAGATGCTTTGATGGTATGATGTCAACTTCTGGCTGATATATATATCACACAGACAACTGATAGCAATAGCATTTAGCAATAGCACTTAGACTTATATACTGCTTCACAGTGCTTTTACAGCCCTCTCTAAGTGGTCTCTAAGTCAGCATATTGCCCCCAACAATCTGGGTCCTCATTTTATTGACCTCGGAAGGCTGAGTCAACCTTGAGCCTGGTGAGTTTCGATCTGCCAAATTGCAGTCAGCCGGCAGTCAGCAGAAGTAGCCTGCAGTACTGCACTCTAATCACTGTGCCACCTCGGCTCATACTCTGATATTCTTTTTGTGGTTTTTTTTCCCCCTAGTACCTATGATAGGTTTTAGAATAATTCTATCCCATTGGTTACTTTTAGGCTAGGCTGAATACAACTTGAGCCAGCATAGCTTGTAAGGGCTTTTTCATACATCAGATTATTCAGGTAAAGAGTTAGCATTAGAAATATGTCCTGTTGCAAAATATCCTGTTCTGCATCAGAGAATTGCTTTAGGAAATCAGCATTTATACAGATAGTCCTTGACCTATGACCACAGTTGAGCCCAGAATTTATGTTGCTAAGTGAGAAATTTGTTAAGTGAGTTATTCCCGTTTTATGATTTTTCTTGCCACATTTGTTAAGTGAATCACTGCAATTGTTAAATTAGTAACATGGTTGTTAAGTGAATCTGGCTTCCCCATTAACTTTGCTTGTCAAAATGTTGCAAAAGATGATCATATGACCTTGGGACACAGCAACGGTCATAAATATGAACCAGTTGTCAAGCATTCAAATGTAAATCATATGACCATGGGGATGCTGCAATGGTCATAACTGTGAAAATGATCACGTTATTTTTAAGTTATCTTGTTAAAGGAACTCAGCATATAAAAAAAGACATATGTTTGAGATACTGAATCAGCACCATCAATCAAAATATCCTGGTTTTATTTTTTTCAATGTAGATTGAGCTTGACTCTAAATTCAACAATTATACTTGTGGCCTTTGTGGAGATTATAATGGACAAAATATCTACAATGAATTTATCTCAGATGGTAAGTAGAGCAATAGTACAGAAAGCATTCTACTACAAACTGGGGAACATGCTTTAAATGCAGAACTGACAGTCAAATGATAGTTTAAATCACACATGCAACACCTTACTTTTTTCCAGGCAAATTAGTTTGTAAATGAGAATGTACAATGACTTATATATTCTAAATTTTAACTAAATTATGAGGTCATTAAACTAAGTTAGTAGCACTTGATTTACTATTTAATATAATATTGTCCACTGTATAATTAAATCTGTTTTTTAATATAGTCAGGGGAACTCAAGGGCGGTATATTTAGAGCAATGGAATTCATTTTACCAACTGTATGTATTACTTCCACTCAATCCAAGTTAAATTCTGAGGTTCATGCATTCTTCCATGAAAATGGAATGAAGAAAAACCCACATTCAAACAGATCTTTAAGTATTTGAACACCAACAACTAGAATAAAATTGTAAAAGATTTAAACAGTCTATTCCAGCTGAATGTATTGTAGAATAAGAAATTGTGGTTTGCAAAACTAGGATACAAAACTAGGATGCTTTCTACCCTAGTTTACTTAATGTACAGTACAACATTTTTTTCAGCATTTCTATTGATCAGCTGTCTTCCTTCCTGTTCTCAAAATACATTGTGTGGTATCCATAACACAACAACATGCACTCCTCTAGCTGATTTCTCATATATGGATCTTTACACTTATCAGGATGCTAAGAATCATAAACTACAAATGAGATAGTTTAAATACACCTTTATTGTTTCTAATAGGATTAAGCTACAACCCAATCACATTTGGAAACCTACAAAAAGTTAATAACCCCACAACAAAATGCGAAGACCCTGATGAGACAAAGCCCATTGAACTGTGCAAGCAGCATGTAAGTTCTCAAACCCTCATGGATTCTCAGAAATATGAAGAGATCAGCCTCTAATCCTGGCTGTTTTGGCTCCAGCAGTTTTTATTGAGAGCAATGGCCCATGTTTCACAGCCCCAAAACTTCAATGCACAATTTGGGTTTACAGTTTTAATCAATTCTTTTTATTTTTGGAGGGTAATGTAAGGGAGACACCTATTCTTCTCTGCTTTCTTCCCTTTCAAGCGTGAAGAGTGTGAAACTCTCCTAACTTCGCCGGCATTTGCAGATTGCCAGAATCGCCTGAATCTAGAACTGTATGTTCAAGCTTGTATGCAGGACAGATGTGCTTGTCAGCATAGAAAGGACTCTTTCTGCCTCTGCAGTACCATCTCTGAATATTCACGACAGTGTTCCCACGCTGGTGGCAAACCTGAGAATTGGAGGAGCCCTCAGTTCTGCCGTAAGTAGCAAACTCGCTTAGATCATATTGATTGATTGACTGGATTTATAAAGCTGCCTAACTCAAAGAGTGTGAGTCTGGGCAGTATCCAAGAACAAAATGAAGTTGAAAAAAAAATTAACAGGATGCAGGTGTGGATACTGCAACTCCTTTATTTTATGTCAAAAATTGGACCCGAAGATCCTCCATCTTTCATCCTGGATATGTTTCTCCTTAATATCCTCCATCATTGATTATTTATTTCAGTCCATTCCCATAGAGCATCAGTGTCTTGGAAACTAAGCTGACCCACAAAAAGTGTTAAAACAAAATAAGGAAAATTAAAACCCTTTGAAACACAGGAGAATTCAACCAATGTAAATTGTCAACTGACTAGAGCCTGGTGGCGCAGCAGACTAATAGCCTGTTATTAACATTCAGCTGCTGCAATTACTGCAAGTTCGAATCTCCCCAGGCTCAAGGTTGACTCAGCCTTCCATCCTTTCTAAGGTAGGTAAATTGAGGACCCAGTTTGTGGGGGCAATAAGCTGACTTTGTATAAATATACAGAAGTATAAAGGCTATTGCTTAACGCATTGTAAGCCGCCCTGAGTCTCCGGAGAAGGGGGGCATATAAATCAAATTAAAAAAAAAAATCCCAGACAGCCATCAATGGTCTTATATTAACAACATTTAAAAACTTGGAAACTTTCATGAAGGATACTGATAGACTATTATTTCATCTATCTGGGTTTGGAGTTGGTTATCCATCCATCCATCCATCCATCCATCCATCCATCCATCCATCCATCCATATCCACCATGATATTTCTGGGCAAATTATTCAAAGCATAAAAAAGGAACAAAATAGTAATCGAAAAAAGTAATGGCATGAAAAAGGAAAGGGAAGGGAAGGAAAGGCATACATGTATCTAGCAATGCATGTTGGCTATACCACTCAAGAATTAAATTCTTGCAAACCAGCCTTGTTTCCATCACACCCATAAAACATTAAATTGGTTATATTTTGCTATATACAATTCTGCCCCTTTTCCACTTTAAATACAAATTTCTCAATTCTCTGTCTTTTTACTATTTTGCCATCCTTTTGTTTTGTGGTTTGATCCTCATTCATTTTCTCCACATGCTCAAACCACCTTAATGGATTTCTTTCCTACTGGTCGCTTACTTTGTATTCAACTCACAGTCATTGCTATCCTTTCATTCTTGATCCTGTCTCTTCTTGTTTTACCAGGCATGCTTAAGTCTCATTCCTACTTCATTCAATTTACTTTTATATCTTTCCTTATTCACCTAACAGACTTTCCTATAACTAAATGGGCAGAAACAGGCTCTTATACATAGCCCATTTTGCTTCTGTCATTCTTCACAGCAGACCAGATACTACCCACAACTTTTCTGCTAGAATTTCCATGTTTTATTTTGCTACTTTCCCCATCTTTAGAAAAAAGCTTGCCAAATTCATCACCTTGCCTGTGGTTTTCTTTTTGCCATTTGTGTATAACTAACAATTGTTTCCTCTATTTCTTTTTTATTTTTATTAGTTTATAATATAAAACAAAAAATACAAAAGAAAATACTAAGGGAGGGAGAAGGAAAGGAAAAAATGCAGGGCAAAGGGAAGAAAGAAAGAAAGGGTATTGTCTTCTGACTCCGTTTGGTGCAGTGGAATAACATAATATCATCAATCCACAACTATTTACTTTTATATAGTAATATAAATTAGCCATTTCTATAACAACAAACCTATCTAATTGGTCAAATCCAAAATCAAAGTTTTATTTTTTTTCCACCCCAAGCACAAAGTCCAGAAGTGGTTTCCAAGTAGAAACAAAAGTAATAGTGTGTTTTTCTTTAATCAAAGCAGACAATTTTAGCCTTCTCTGCTAACTCTATCAATTTTTGCAGCCGTTCATCCATTGTCGGAATCAAAGTGTCCTTCCATTTTTGTGCATACTGTAATCAGTTGCTTCCTCTATTTCTGTGGGAAAAACAATTACCTTGATCATTCATAACTTCATTTTCAAATCCATTATCCTCACTGCAGTCCAAGATTCACTGCAAATCATTTGGATTCACTGTCAACCTGGTATAATCGGCACACAATGGTTTAAAAGAATTTAGTTCCCCATAATGCAATTCTGTTGTGTGTTTTTCCTCATAGGTAAATGGACTTTTGTCTATTAAATACAAAGTATGTTTCCTAATCATTGCCCTATTCTTTTAGCGAGGTCATGTCCCAAAAATATGATTTACCTGGAAAGTGGTTCTCCCTGTATGGACTCCTGCTCGCACCCGGAGATCAGCAAACTATGTGAAGAGCACTATATGGATGGCTGTTTTTGCCCCAAAGGTAACCATTGCAATGTATAAAGGCTTGGGTGGGAAATCCAAACTTAAATCACTGCTCAGTTGGACGGTTGAGGCCAAGTTGACTAATCCCTTATCATAATTATTTGTGCTTATTTCAATAGTACGTGAACTATTAGTGCTCATTGCAATAGCAAGCATACCAGTAAGTAATAGTATATAGTTGATTCACTGAGATTTAACTCTGAGAAAAAATATATAAGAAAAAATGTAATTTCCCTTCAAGAAATGTTGAGGTAGCAATATTAAAAATAAATAAATAAAAATTGTCAGCATTAAGCAGAAGTGATGATCTCCCTTTGAAAGAAGCATCATTATTGCCATCTATCACAAGCTCAGAAAAGGAACAGGCAAATTTTTTTATTATAATTGAATGCCGCATTTTCTTGGAGATAATCATTCAGATGCCTGATGCTGTGGACTAGAATAAAATTAGAATAAAAAAATGAGTGGGCTTTTTGACCCACCCCTCTTTTCTCTTTGGAAACTCTTTTTTCTTTTTCATTTTTAATCCCATTATCAGGCTAATGGGAGAGTATGTTCTTGAACATGACCTGAACTGAATGTTTGCAGAAAACATCTCAAATTAGGACCTCATGAAATTAGGTTAAGAACATTACAAGATCTTGCAAAGCTTGTTCACTTCTGCCGTGAATCTATTACTCATACTCTGTACTCTTCAATGAAATGTAATTAGCTAGGAAATTGTTCTTATATTGGTAATGTGTTGTTCAACGTAGTTAATGGAATTTCGTTTTTTGCCCTTTAGTAGCAATTTTGGTTGTCATGCATTATTAATAATCTCTTCTTTCACTTTTACAGGCACAATATATGATGATATCACAGGGAATGGCTGTGTGCTAACAAGTCAATGCCACTGTAAACTTCATGGCAAAATATACAATCCTGGTCAGAAAATTGCCAATGAGTGTGAAGAGTGGTAAGAATGCCAATAGCTCATCATTTCCCTATTAACACTTTTTTTAGAGTAACCCAATCATTGTTATGTCAAAATGAGAACAGGGTTTATATCATGTCAATAATGACAGAGTGATCCTATTTAGACACTTTACATTACTCGTACAGAAAGAGCCTGAGAACAAGTGATGCTTGTTCAAATAATAATAATACTGTAACTTCCTTGCATTACCAGTGAAATCCCTCCCCTTGCTTTTAACCCAATACCTTATATTATTTTACACTGAGTAAACATGCAAAGTCAAATTAAGAAAGTTTGCATTTATGTGGTATAAAGAAAGATAAATACCTAGGATCAACAAATAACCCTAAAGAAAAGTGAATGCCTTTGTAGGAGATGACCAGGCTCAGCCCAAGGGAGGGATCAAGAGTTCCTTCATGCCCATAAGAGATCTAAGTCCTGCACACTTCGAATTCCATTGATTCTTATCTACCGCCAATTTGCTTTGATCTTAGTAATCCAGATTCTTGTAGAGAGTGTTAGCATACAATAACCTGTGTTCATTGGAACCATCTTGCTTCCTGATTTCTTACAGCTCACAGTATTGACTCTAATTTCATCTGTAACTGCAAAGTCATTAATTTAGGCTTTAATGCATGGATGTCAAACTCGCGGCCCATGGGCCAGATGCATCACACGCTGGCTAGGCCTACGCCCAGTTTAGCAAAGGAGGGAGATGTCATGGTACATCTTGTGACACCACTGTGACGACATGAGTTTGACACCCCTGCTTTAATGGCTTCTTCAGTTTATAACAAAACAAAACAAAACAAAACAAAAAGTGTGATTATTTTGTAGGGAAAATACAAACAAACATACTTCCAAACAAACCCATTCAGTGGGATATTCTAAATACACATATTTCCAGTACAAATTCTTATTTTGTATACCCCGTTTGTCAATTTGCAGCATTTGTCAATCAGGGAGATGGAGATGCGAGGAGTTATCATGTCCAGGTACCTGTGCTTTGGAGGGTGGATCCCATATAACCACTTTTGATGGGAAGAAATATACCTTCCATGGAGATTGTTATTATGTGTTGACCAAGGTATGTATGTGAAATACTGCTCTTTGGAGGTGTACCTGCTGTTTTGAACATTATAGATGTGCTTGGCTTTTTTTGTTTTTTGTTTACACTTTTTAAAATTAAGTTATAAAGTATTATGAAATACAAAGTACAAAAGTAAATAGAAGAGCATTGAGGGGGGAGGGGAAAGGGGGGAAAAGTGAGGAAAGATAGGGAAAAAAGAAAGAAAAAGAAGCATTGACTTCCGACTCTCTCTGTTACAGCAAAATAAGGCATTAACAACAGATCACAGCTTTTTGCTTTTCCATAATAGTATGAACAAGTCATTTCTATAAAGATCTTTAAATCTAATCTGTAAAATCCAAAATCAGATTTTCATTCTTTTCCACACCAAGCATGAAGTTCAGAAGTGGTTTCCATGTGGAAACAAAACTACTTATGTTCTTTTCTTTAATCAAAGTAGTCAGTTTTGCCATTTCAGCCAACTCCATCAACTTCTGCAACCATTCTTTCACAGTAGGAATTGAAATGTCCTTCCATTTTTGCGCATACAATAGTCTTGCTGCTGTCAACATATATAGTGACAAAGTTCCAATTTTTTTCTCCAGTTCTTTTTCCATTAGACCCTAAGGAAAAGTTCTGGTTTCATCTCTGTTTTCAAAATTTAATGTAAATTTTAAACCCTTCGTCCACATATTTTCCCATTGTTCAAGCATCACGTTATATCCAAAATTCCTTGCCCACTGAATCATACAATGTTTTACATGTTCATTTTCCAAATTTCAATTTCAATAACATTTTATAAATCTTAGCAATAATATGTTCATCGTTACCACATAGTGAAATTTCCAATTCATTTTTAACAAAGTCAAATCCATAGCACTTTTTATCCAATTTGAATCTTTTTTTCAGATGCTGACAAATATGTTTGTTTTGATAGCTACGGAAGAAGTGGATGAATTACATCATGTGTTATATACATCCAAAGGACCCTATAATTATTAAGCCTATTTAAATACTACTGAAAAAGTTATGTTAATTTTGAATGCTCCTTCTGTAGAAATGGCAACGCTCCCAGCCTTTTATCTCAAAAACATAGAACATCTGCAATAAAAACTTGCCATATTCTCTTTGGCTAGAAAAGAAATTTCTGATATCATCATAACAGTCACTGCAATTTTATTTTGGTTCTGAAATAACCAAGTGGTTTACTGATTTGGAATAACTGGAATAAAATACATATCAAACACGAACATTTAAAAAATTAAATCACTGCTGTAGAACAATATAAAGCAATCAGCAAAAGATATTTGGCACAACTCCAAAGGCCTCCTGGAGAAATCTATAGAATAAATAAATGAGCATTCAAAATTAACATAACTTTTTCAGTGGTATTTAAATGGGTTTAATGATTATAGGGTCCTTTGGTGTATATAGCAAATGATGTAATTCATCCACTTCTCCCATAGTTATAAAAACAAGCACATTTCATTAGGGATAGTTTTCTCTTTTTAATGGTCAAACAGATAGAGTTCTAGTCCATGCCCAATCTGCTCAATTTTGCATTCATATTTTTTGATCAAAACAAAATTAGGGTTTTAATTGTATTCAAAGATAAACATTCTAAACATATTCAAAAATAGCATGTCAGTATGTATTTTCTCTCAAAATATGCATTTCCATAGTCTATATTTTGATACATTTGGGACCAAGAACCAACTGAAACATTTAGGGAGTGTAATAGTTGATCGACAACTAATTCTAATTTGCAGAGAAGCCCAGGCAATGTGGATCAGGTCAGTTGGTCGAAAAGATAAATTTCCCCAAGCATTTCTAAGTTGTGTTATGCCCTGATTATGGTATGGATAGCCAAAGTTGAATGCATTTCCTTTCTTCTTTTGGAATTCATGCACAGACAGTCGACTTATGTATTGGGAAACTCAATATTTTTATTAATTCTGCCTGCTAGAATGTCTGCAGAACTATGACTACAGGGATATTCTATGCATTTGCAACTTTGTTCTATTTGTCACCTTCTTGTTGCACATCTGATGCTAGCTGCTTTTTTTTTTTTTGACTGGCACTGCCAAATTGTCTCAACCTTAGAGAATTCAGCACTAGACCTCACAGCCAGTCTGACATCTGCTGACTGTACTGTATAATGTAGGGCATACCTTCCAGAGTTGTATTGCTCTGATGACTGCTGCTATTTTGTTGTGGGGAGAAGTACCAACACATAGCATAAAGGACTTGCTTTCCCTTTATACCACCTTATAAATAAAAATGCAGTGAAATTTAGGACAAGGCTAAAAAGATTGCTATGAATCTGAAATGGGACACTGAGTGTGATTTGGGGTAGCTGGATCTCCAATAACAATAGATAAATATTGATGAGGGATTAGATAGATAGATAGATAGATAGATAGATAGATAGATAGATGATAAATAAATGATGAATGAATGGATGATAGTACTTTTTTAATGGATAATTTTAGTTGTCTTGGGAAACAGTTTGATATAGAATAGAACAGAACAGAACAGAACAGAACAGAACAGAACAGAATAGAATATGAATTCTTTATTGGCCAAGTGTGATTGGACACACATATAGAGGCAATGACTGACCATATTAATTGTATTTGTTCTTCCATATGTGCAGAACACTAAAAATGACACACATGTCCTTTTGGGAGAATTGGGTCCATGCACTTCTTCAGACAAGCAGACATGCCTAAAGTCAGTAGTGCTATTAATAGACCAAAAGAAGAATGTAAGTTTAATGAAAATGATGATGGTATAGTTATTATCCACTTGTTCATCCATACTACAATGCCTTTTATTTCATTGGATATCTGTTTCTCTTTGTCAGCCTTAAAAAAAATCAAATGAAGTTATATTTTTATTACTTTGAGAAATTATAATAAGTATTCACATTTATGAATATTTTGCTGTTGCCGATTATATCATGATTGTGTTTGGCTTACGTTTAATTTGCTGTTATTTACGTTGATAATATGATATGTGTATGCAATATGTACTAACATTATTATTGCCCAACAAATTTTTATATTAAATAGTAATGAGAATTATTTTCAACAATTATTTTTATTTTATTAAATTTATTAATCACTCATCTTACCACAGGGTAATTCTAGGCAGTTTACAGTATTAAAAAACAACTTTCTTCTTCATCCATTACACTTTTGTGATTTAGCTAGCATGGCTAAGTAATATATACTATTAATTCTTCAGTGAGGGATGGCAACCAAATTCATTCTACAGGTTTTGGACTATAGTGTATTTTTCAATTGGCTGTGCAGTGGATAACCACTATTGGGAGGTCATAAATGTTGGTGAGAGATAATCTAGAGCATTACAAATTCCCCTTTCTTGCCCTAGAGCAGTGGTATAGAGGTTTCAGAGGTATAGACTTCAACTCCCAGAATTCTTAGTAATGGATATTTTATCTGGGGAAATCTGGGTAGTGAAGGTGACACTTCAGGAATTTGTTATGGTTGGGAAACATTTCCCTGGAGGAAGAGTTTAAAGATTGAAAAACAATCTGGCCACCCAGGAAAAGAAATTGCACAGACCATGTTTCATCATTCCTTCACTGAAAACACAGGAGAAGAAGAAGTCATAAATATAGCTGCCAATTGTCAAAATGAAATATAGCGATCCAAATCAATTTATTTAAATGTAAGGTTTTAACTGTTTTCTTTCACCAGTTAATTGAATATGGTATAAAGAAACTGAAACAGTAATATGTGATGTTGTTTATAAAATACAGAGCTTTTGTTGTCATTCTAACACAATAAAATTTCCTTTTTACAACCCTGTAATTCCTAATTTGGGGTAGAGTTGGGGCAACTGGATGGAGCTGAATGTTTACTGGCTGGATGCCCTTCCTGACCCCTATGTGGAGTTCACAGCAGATTTTTTTTTCTTTGCACCCTAGGAGAGAAACATCTGCCTCAATCTAGAATTGAACTCTTAGCCTTCCAAGTGGCTGGAACTAGGCCAGCATGTCGCTTATATCAGTTTAATATAATAAATCTAGAAATTTGAATATAAATTGGCATACAACCGACTAAAACTATCACCTCTAAAATGTATACCATATGTATATCATTCAGACACTTTAAAAATATCCTATTTTTGCTTCAGAAACTGAATTTGCAGATATTGTCCTCCAATCAAAGAATATTTTTTGCTCGGGGTCATGTGTTCTGTTGCTCAGATCTTACAATGTTGATTAAATTATTTCTTAATTTCTCCTAATCCATTGGATTGGATCTCTATAATCTATCTGAAGAACGCTATTGTTTCATTTCTATAGTTATAAATACAGAAGAATGATTTCTCTTCAACACTTCACAGATTATTCTTATTAATTTAAGATTACGTTCTGTTTTAAGGCTCCCCACAAAGTTGTACTGACATAATAGGCTGTATTTTCTCTCACACAGGTTGTAGTTTTCAAATCAGATGGCACTATATTACTGAATGAAATTGAGATTCATTTGCCATACAGAACAGGTAAAGAAGGGAACCATTGCTTCTACATATCTCAGCATTGCCTAGATTGGTCTAGACAGCTTTCTGTTTGGGCTTTAAGAAATTTAAAAAGTTAAGAACAAAAGGATCACTGACATGTGGGATACCATCAAATGTAATGCAATAAAAGAGACATTGAAAAGGGAGGTTGAGTTGTATTTCCTGATAAATACAGTAGTTACTTATCCCTGAGAGAATTGTGCATAATAATGACTTATAATTCATGACTCTTTCATTTTTCATTGTCTTTTCCCTTCTTCTTCCCCATAAGAAATAACATCAACATACTAGTTAACTATTCTTACCAGGGGAGGGTTTCAAAACCCATCACTACTGGTTTGCTTGTGGGCGTGGGCACGCATGCGCAGAAGCGTCTGGGTGGGTGGGCGGAGCCTCCTGCCACCATTACTACCGGTTCACCCAATCTGGGGTGAACCGGTAGCAACCCACCACTGATTCTTACTCTCCTGGAGAAAGACACTTATATTGACTATTATCCCCCCCGCTTCACATTAAAGATAGAGGACAAATTGATTACATTTCACAGAGGATCACTCAACTTTATCTTTGTTTTTCCAGGTAGTTTCTCAGTTTTCCAGCCATCATCATTCTATACTATTGTGGAAACAAATTATGGGCTAAAGATGCAGATCCAGCTGTCCCCAGTGATGCAACTGTTTCTCATTATGGAGGATTTTGCCAAAGGAACTCTCCAAGGCAAGTCAAACCTTTATCTACCATTAGAGGAAATGTAAAGATTTTGAATGAATTTCTTCTATCCAACTTTTGACAGTCAAGCTATTGACTTCGTTTGAGACTCTTCCACCTTACAGTGCATATCTCAATCTTTAGGATTTTTTGTTACTAAGTATGTTGTTCAGTTTGATGTTTATCCATTTGATGTCTCTATATGTGAAAGAATCTCATAATAATGTGTTCCCATATAAAGCTAGTTTGGAGTGTTTAATAGTGCTGATTCAAAACACTAACTTGAAGAGGTCTAAAAAAATTCAATGTTAGATACATTTTTCTCTATTCCTTTACTTGTCATTCTGAGTAAAAATGGTCACCTCAGAACAGAAGTGGGTTTCAGCAGGTTCTGACCAGTTCTGGAGAACCGGTAGCGGAAATTTTGAGTAGTTCGGAGAACTGGTAGTAAATATTCTGACTGGCCCCACCCCCATCTATTCTCTGCCTCCCAAGTCCCAGCTGATTGGGAAGAAATGGGGATTTTGCAGTATCCTTCCCCTGAGTGGGGTGGCAATGGAGATTTTACAGTATCCTTCCCTTGCCACGCCCACCAAGCCATGCCACGCCCACCAAGCCACCCCGACAGAACCAGTAGTAAAAATTTTTGAAACCCACCACTGCCTCAGAAGTTAACTTTCTTGCAATTATACAATCAGGAGCATTGACATAAGTAAGAACTGATGTAAAACAAAACATTAATATTACCTAGTAATGTTCATATTGGTTTAGAATTACTGTTATGGGGAATGGAAATTTATAGAGCCATGGTGGCGCAGTGGTTAGAATACAGTATTGCAGGTTGCTCACATCCTGATGGGGTTCAATGTTGACTTAGCCTTCCATCCTTCCGAGATCAGTAAAATGAAGACCCAATCTGTTGGGGGTGATATACTGAGTAGTCTGTAAACCACTTAGAGAGGACTATAAAGGACTATGGGGTGGTATATAAGTTTAAATGCTATTGCTATTGCTATTAATGATTAGAAGAGCTTACAAAAACAATAAATTTCAATCAAGTAAAACACATTCAATTGTTGTTTTTATCAACAGGACTTTGCGGAGATTACAATGGTATAGAAAGTGATGATTTAAAAACATCAGGTGGAGTGGTTGAAGCAACAGGAGCTTCCTTTGCCAACTCCTGGAAAGCACAAACTAGCTGTAGTGATATGGAAGATAAGTTGGAACACCCTTGCTCTCTGAGTCTTGAGAATGGTAAGGAATGAGCAGCTTTTGTCAATACATTCCCAAATCCACTAACGTCAAGATAATTAATAGCCTACCTCCAAGTCTGGCCCTAATTACAAGTTGTAGTCTTGCATGCATTGCATATATCTGTGCTCACCCAAAGGCTTTCAATTGAGTATTAGCAGCAACTTTCAATCTCTCTTTTTAGAAGACTCAGAAAAAAAAAAAAAAAAAACACCAGCTGCTGAAGATAGAGAAAATTTCCATTTTGCCAATTGGTGTTATGAAAATGGATGCCAGCTTGGCTTAATGCTTGCTACAGAATATGTTTTTCTTCTGATGATGCTTTCTACTTCCAAACAAGTAAAAACTAGGGAGAGTAATTCAAGGGATGCGATGGCTCAGTGGCTAAGACACCAAGCTTGTCGATCGAAAGGTTGGCAATTCAGTGGTTTGAATCCCTAGTGCCACGAAATGGGGTGAGCTCCCATTACTTGTCCCAGCTTCTGCCAACCTAGCAGTTTGAAAGCAGGTAAAAAATGCAAATAGAAAAATAGGGACCACCTTTGGTGGGAAGGTAACAGCGTTCCGTGTGCCTCTGGTATTTAGTCATGCCAGCCACATGACCACGGAGACATCTTCAGACAGCGCTGGATCTTCAGCTTTGAACGGAGATGAGCACCATCCGCTAGAGTCGGGAATGACTAGCAAATATGTGCGAGGGGAACCTTTACCTTTACCTTTTAGGGAGATTAAATTTAGTCCTCTAATGATCTGGTAGCCAACAATATCCATTGTTTAATGCATTCCATTGCATAGAATTGCACAGTTGCTTCAATATAGGAGCTACGTATGCAATGCTTAAGATGCCTATTTTGCTTTGCTTTACTGTGGTGGTGATCAAAATAACCTGAACACTAGAATACTGCCATACACATCATATGAGAAACAGAAAAACATTAAATAGATGGTAACCAAATGTCACTGCTCTCTCTGGTATAGAAAAATATGCTGAATACTGGTGCTCTTTATTGAAAAGTACAAAAAGTCCTTTTGCAAGATGTCATTCAGTGATTGAGCCAACGGATTATTATAAGGTATGAATTTTGAGATCTTGCTGATCATTCAGTATTTTAGAATTAATTTAAATCTCCTAAAACCTGAGGCTTTCTGGGTGGTTTACCGAAAAGGTTTTTTGGGGTGGGGTTTTATTTTTTGAGAACTTGGCTTCAGGCATACTCAAATGGCAATTAATTTGTTTTTAGTGTTTATGCATCTATTTGAGCTCCAATACAGCACTGCAGCCGATTTCTAATCTTTAACCAAGGCAGTAGCTTTCCTTCAGGTGGTTTGCCCTGGGAGATGCAACACAGTCTATTTTCAGCTTTTAAAAACACATTTTTTAAAAATGGGAGTAGTACAGTCCAGTATGTGAAAAAAATGTTTGGAACTACTTTAGTAGAGCTTAGATTTTGAAAGAAAGGGAAAAGGAACAATTCATGTACACCAGACCTTCCTTATGTAAACTCTCTAGATCAGTGTTTCTCAGTCTCAGCACCTTTACGATTGGTGTACTTAATCCCCTAGGATTCTGGGAGTTGACATTTACCAATCTTAAAGCAACCAAGGTTAAGAAACATTGTTCTTGATGTGCCTTTAGTCAGGCATTTTGGGAGCTTGAGTCTGAGCTCATATGGAAGACAACAGATTGAGTGGAAAAACAGGTCATTCCTAATACACGTTTCTCACTCTGTATTATTCTTCCATCACAATTTGGACCATTCCTAATGTGGGTCTCTTATTGTGTCACTACACTTCCGTTGCAATTGTGGAATGGAATGCTGCATTCTGCCAATAGCTATTCTCAAGTGCCAGTTCTTCATCCATTGACTCCTCTTCACTAACCTGGGCTGACTGTTCCCTGATTACTATTTGTTTCAGCGTTGCAAGTATGATACCTGCAATTGTGACTCCAGTGAACAATGTTTATGCGCTGCCCTATCATCTTATGCAAGAGCCTGTGCTTTCAAAGGAGTCATGTTGTCGGGCTGGAGAAATGTGGTCTGCAGTAAGTATCTACATGGTTTTTTTCCCCTTAATCGCTTGATATCAGTATCTTTTTTTAAAACAAGTCAGCCCTGGGTTAACGATTAAGCAAAATAAGCATGTGCTTAGGGCTCCAAGGGAAGCCCACAGAATATCTTCCCCTAGCTATCATACCTTTAACTCTTCCCTTGCCATACTCAATTTTAATTTTCATCACAATCTTGCTGGTTAAGCAATGTAAGGGGCAAGGGGTACCACTGTGGGGCTGTGTAGGGCCTCAATTGGCCTTAATCCAGTCCTGAAATATGGCCTATCTAGATAAATTGCATTTGGGTGTGTGCAGAAATACTGAGATATACTATTTATAGAAACAGGGAAGTTCATGGGATCATGCCTAACACATTCAGAAGAACTTCATAAAGCTTTAGATCACAGAATCTATTTTTAATCATTCCCTGCCTTTATATGTTGGTGTGATGCTTTTATTAGTAGTCAGTTTTATCTATCATCCATCCATCCATCCATCCATCCATCCATCCATCCATCCATCCATCTATCTATCTATCTATCTATCTATCTATCTATCTATCTATCTATCTATCTATCTATCTATCTATCTATATTTTAATTTCTATAGCTGCCCTATTCTACCAAGTGATTCTGAGTGGTTTACAATAACGATACGATACGCTGCTTCAGAAATACTGGTAGATGGAAAAGTAGCATAAAAGAACAAAGAAGCCATATCCAATGGACCTTGGATACTTATTTATGAATGTATTATCTTCTCCCTTAAATTCAGACAAAGAAGTAACTTCTTGCCCAGCCAACCAGATTTTCCACTACAATCTAACCACATGCCAACAGTCCTGCCGTTCTCTTTCTGATGGAGATAAGTACTGCTTGAAAGGTTTCACTTCGGTCGATGGCTGTGGCTGCCCTGACAATACCTATGTGAATGAAAAAGGCATCTGCGTGTCTATGTCTGATTGCTCCTGTCATTATAAAGGCTTATATGCGCAACCTGGAGATTCTATCATGAAGGACGAGAAGCGTTGGTACGTTGTGAAGACTGATTCCTCTGTTCCAGTTTGATAAGATGGGCATTCAGCACAAGAGAACTTTAAGTGCTGAGTTACATTTGCAGATTAAACCTGGATGGAGAATTCAGCAGCGCATTTCAGGGAACTGAATTAATCATTTGGTACAATTTAGTCGGAGGTTCTTTCTCCAAATCGTCAACAGATAGAACTAATTATATAGTACATGTTGAGAATCCCTACACTTTGCAGTACTTTAGAAATCCTTCAGTAAGGATGGTCATGAAACTCATATATTGCAAGTGCAACCTTATACCCATGAAGTGTCTATTTAAAAGTATGTCCTTTATTTATGACCACAATTGAGCCCAAAATTTATGTGGCAAAGTGAGAAATTTGTTAAGTGAGTTTTGCCTCCTTTTACGACTTTTCTTGCTACTTTTGTTAAGTGAATCACTGCAGTTGTTAGATTAGTAACACAGTTAAGTGAATCTGGTTTTCCCTTTGGCTTTACTTGTCAGAAGGTCACCAAAGAAGATCACATGACTCCAGGAGACTGCAACCGTCATAAATATGAATCAGTTGTCAAGCATTCGAATGTAAATCACATGACCATGGGGATGTTGCAACGGTCATAAGTGTGAAAAACAGTCACAAGTCACTGTTTTCAGTCCCGTTGTAACTTTGAGTGGTCACTAATCAAACTGTTGTAAATCGAGGACTACCTATATAGTATTTCAATGGAGTATACTCCTAGGGAAGAGGAGATAGAATTCAAGAGTCAGAATGCTTGAATTCTTGTGATAACTTTAAAGAGTAATACCATAGGTACAGTATTAATTACGCTCTTATCCACCATTTATTTTAAATGGTTGATCCGTAAAAATGAAGGAAGGTTGCAGGAATGTTGTACATTTTTTTTAAAAAAATTGATTTATATGCCGCCCTTCTCCGGAGACTCAGGGCGGCTTACAATGCGTTAAGCAATAGCCTTCATTCTATTGTATATTTTATACAAAGTCAGCTTATTGCCCCCACAAACTGGGTCCTCATTTCACCTACCTTAGAAAGGATGGAAGGCTGAGTCAACCTTGAGCCTTGGAGAGATTCGAACCAGCAGAAATTGCAGGCAGCTGTGTTAATAACAGGGTGCATTAAACCACTGTACTATCAAGGCTCTTTTAAAACATTATCATAAACATATGAAAGTATGTGGCAGTCCTTAGCAAATCATTGACATTTCCAGTTTGGCTGCTTGTATTGTGCATCAATGGTATACCATTTAGGGATTCAAGAAATCACTGTAATAAAATACACTTCCATTAAACGTATATAAATTGCAATTCATTTGCAAAATTCTTATTGCTACTGTTTTATCATTTTATTTATTTTGCTATTATTTTCTGCTATTTTTAGTGTTTGCAGAAATGGAAGATTTCATTGTGTAACACTGGATATACACCACCCCAGTAAGTATCAACCTTCATATTTTAATAATACATACATTTTTATAATTTGAGCTATGTGTTGAATGAAAATTTCCTTTTGACATGGCTTTACCATAAAGCCACTCCCTCCTAAGTTTATTAGCTTTTCATTGTTGTTGTTGTTGTTGTTGTTGTTCTTGTTATTACTAACTTTATTCATTAAACATAAAACTCAGTCAACCGAACATTAAAAAATGCATCACAAATACCACTGACTGGTGCTAATGGTTGATACGGGTTGCTGTCAGCATCCTACTGGTAGGTATCAACCAAGTACCTTCTTAAGATGTACAATATTCCAAGTAGCGCAGTTTTTTGCAGTTCCACTGGTGTGATTGCAGGAAGCTGCAATTTGTTGATGTATCTTATAAAATTCTTGGACATGGTACCAAGTGCCCCAATGACAATGGGTATCATGTTACATGTTTCAATAACAATAACAACAACAACAACAACAACAACAACAACAACAACAATAATAATAATAATAATAATAATAATAATAATAATAATAATAATAATAATTTGATTCGCAATCTGGGACTGGAAAAAACTTAACAGTTCAAGTTAACGAAGAACCTAAGAGCTGTTAAGGTAACATTAAGTATATAGGCAGTTCCGAGTATGGTGGTTGTTGTTGTTGTTGTTGTTGTTGTTGTTGTTCTTATTGTTCTTATTATATATTCACAACCATGTGAAATCACAGCTTCCAGTTCTTTAGCTGATGTTGGCCTTCATACACATTGAGTTCTTCCCAAGAACTAGGATGCTGTAATGTATTGGGGTGATATATGTACGAATCCAAGCAATATGGCCTTTTGTAATTGACAGAAGGAAAATATTATCAATGCACAGTGTTTTTAGGTGCCATCCAAGATATTTTGGTATGGCACCCAAGGTGTTGATAACCACTAGAAACACAACAACTGATTTATGCCATAATCTTTCAATTTTAAATGTCAGATCTAATACTTTGTGATCTTCTCCAATATCTTGTCTTCTATTCTACTACACTCTGGTATTGCCACATCAATTATTCGCACTTTCTTCTTTTCAACCACAGTTATATCTGATGTGTTAGGAGCCAAGACTTTATTGATTTGTATTAGTATTATAATAAATATTTCCATCTGTAAGTCTCGAACACAATTTCTTTACAGGGACATAGAGTATTTCCAAATTAATTGAATAAGCTGCTCTCAGAATGATTTGTCTACTGTCTGTTCTGACAACACCCAAATTATCTAACCAGACTATAGCTTTCCCTATAAAGGAGAAAAAAAATTCCTGCGAGTCCTGCACTGCCATTCTAATGTCCCAAATTGGAATCAGGCTCATACAATAGCGATAGCACTTAGACTTACTGTATATACCGCTTCATAGTGCTTTACAGCCTTCTCTAAGCGGTTTATAGAGTCAGCCTATTGCCACTCCAACAATCTGGGTACTCATTTTACCGACCTCAGGAAGATGGAAAGCTGAGTCAAGCTTGAGCTGGTGGGAATTGAACTGCCAAACTACTGGAAGTTGGCAGTCAGCAGAATTAGCCTGCAGTACTGGATTCTAACCACTGCACCACCACGGCTCTACAATCCATGGTGTTGGTTTGATTTTATGGACTAATTTGTTCAGGCATTGCAGGGCAATTCCATCTTAAAGTGATACAAGAATTTTGACAAGAGCATTTTCTATGTATATGGTATTCAATTTGCAGTTTGACATATTTTTAAAGGCACAAACCATTCCAGATTCCTTAGGTTTTTTTGAGTTTTCATTTGTCTGTTACTATGGAACTAAATTCAAGAGATTTCTTTTTCAATATGCTTTATTTACTTTTCAGATTGTTCATCCAATAAGTCATATTTTGATTGCAACAACATTGACTCTTGGTCTTCCCAAACGCCAATACGACTTAGCTGTCAAACGCTGGGTACTGATCATGTATGTCTTTCTTCTTTTCTGGCTTTTTTTTACACCTGTATTCCAAAAGTGATGTAATTTTGATAGCGATGTATAGTGTGAAGCTATTATCTTTAATGAACTCCACTAAAGGAATACTGAAATGAACCAAGCTTCTGCTTAAAGTAGCATTCTGTTTGTTAACATTTTGATACAAGAAGTAAAGTCACTGGCCATTTCATATTTAAAAGCAAGAGCCCTACCAAACATATATAGAATTCTTCAATTTTTGGGAGAGGGGATAAATATGCCCATGTAGAAATGAGAAAGCAATTTCTTTCTAATCATATTTCAAATATTTGAAAGATTCTGAGACATAACTCCATATCTAACTTTAGCCCATACTGATTCCATGTTGGTGGTGCACTTTAAATAGTGCATTTGTGTGTGATTTGTCTTTCCAAAACTATATGAACAAAAGTAAGGCATGTGAATTTTAATTGCCTGGATCATATTAAGGGTGCTATTAAATAGTCATGTGGGTATTATCCTTGTTTCCTATAGTTCCAAACTGAATGTATCTCAGGATGTGTTTGCCCTGAGGGCTTGATTGATGATGGCCGAGGCGGGTGTGTAAAAGAAGATGACTGCCCATGTATTCATAACCAGGTGTTTTATCCCAATGGAGAAACAATAAACGTTGGCTGCAACACATGGTAGGATATGCTATGTAGCAGTGGTGGGATTCAAATTTTTTAATACCGGTTCTGTGGGCGTGGCATGGCTTGGTGGGTGTGGCTTGGTGACGTGTCAGGGGAAGGTTACTGCAAAATCCCCATTTCCTCCCAATCAGCTGGGACTCGGGAGGCAGAGAATAGATGGGGGCGGGGCCAGTCAGAGGTGGCATTTACCGGTTCTCTGAACTATTCAAAATTTCCGCTACCGGTTCTCCAGAACTGGTCAGAATCTGTTGAATACCACCTCTGCTATGTATAAAGTAGAAACAGAAGATGATAGCCATTTCTTATTTTACATAATTAATATTTTGCTCTGTACCTTTAAAGCATTACACAGAGAGATAGCTTTGGTCTTACTATCTCTCTTCCTTCCTCCCTCCCTCCCTCTCTCTCTCTCTCTCTTTTATACTCTCTAGTACATGCCAAAAAGGAAGCTGGAAATGCACCAACTTAGTGTGTTACGGGACATGTACCATTTATGGCAGTGGCCATGTCATGACCTTTGATGAAAAATTCTATGACTTTGTTGGTCACTGTGAATACGTGGCTTCTCAGGTAATATTCAGTTACTAGTATCAAGTTTTGCAGTAACCCAAATTATACAGTGTTTGCAGTGACTGTCAATTTTATTCCATGAATATCCATCAGAATTTCATTCCATGGAATCTTCTTACCCAACAGGCAACTAAGTAATTGCATTAAGATGATTTTTTTTTTTTTGCACATAATTATTTTACCAAACTTCAAAAAATCTGGCTTGAATTGAACTCCATGATATTGAATTAAAATATTAACAACTTAACAACTCTTTGGATGCTTTCTGAAATTTATTTCACTCAGTGTTGATGATATCTTTATTGGTAACAGCCACTCTCGCTCAATACACTTTCAAGAGAAAAAAACCTTTGCCAATCTTCCCTTTTAAAACAGGAATTCCTAATGGGTAAGATATGCTGGCCTAGTTTGTCTATGTCCTACCAAATTTTGATCCTAACAGGATAACTTATTTAAGATAGTGTCCATTTGACTTCCTGATAGGGATGTCTTTACATTTAAATGAAACTAAATTGCAACTAAAACAATTTGACTCAAATTTTACCATCTATTACAATCTATTACAATCTTACAATCTATTCTGTTGTTTCAACTGAATCACAAAATATTTTGGAGATCTGGAACTGTAGTGCTGGTGTTTTAAAAGCTGGGGGAGTTCCTTTGCAATGACTCTTTGGGGTTTGTATTTTGCAATCTTCATATTTATTCATTTTATCTTATTTATTTATTTATTAGTCCAATTCATATGCCGCCCTTCTCTGGAGACTCAGGGCAGCTTACAATGCATTATAGCAATAGCCTGCATACTTTTTTGTATATACCTGCTTATTAGGGCTTTGCCCCCCCCCACAAGCGGTGTTGTTCTATACAAAGTTGGCTTATTGCCCCCACAATCCGGGTCCTCAATTTACCTACCTCGAAAGGATGGAAGGCTGAGTCAACCTTGAGCCTGGTGAGATTCGAACTTGCACTAATTGCAGGCAGCTGGCAGCTAAATGCTAGCACTTTAGCCCGCTGCACCACCGAGGCTCTTCTGACCATTTCAAATATTTTGCCAACAATATTTTGGGTTACAATTCTTTGAATTAACCTTATCTGAATGGTTGATCAATTACTCTGCCTCACCATGCACGTGACTATGACCACATTATGACATTATATGACTACAATGGTACCGATACAATAATTTTCAGTCAAATAAAATATGCTATTTTTAAAGACTAGCTCATTTTTTTTGGGATGGGTGGGTGAGGGAAGTTGGTTAGTAAGTGCTTTGAAGCATGAATGTTCTCATAAACATAAAGGAATGATTAACTGCCCAGTGCCCAGTGTTGCTCTGTGAGAGAAATGTGAAACATTATTTGATTTGATTTTGCTTAACCTTGATCCTCTTTTTTTTGACTATGCCCACTAGGATTACTGTGGCAACCAGCAAGGAACGTTTAGTGTGATCGTAGAGAACGTTCCCTGTGGAACAACAGGAGTTACCTGCTCCAAAGCCATTAAATTGTTTCTAGGGGTATGTATCAGTGATGAAATCCACTTTTTTAAAACTTCTGGTTCTGTGGATGTGGCTTGGTGGGCTTGGTGTGGCTTGGTGGGTGTGGCTTGGTGGGCATGGCAGGGGAAGGATACTGCAAAATCTCCATTCCCATCCCACTCCAGGGGAAGGATACTGCAAAATCCCCATTCCCTCCCCACTCCAGGGGGAAGGATATTGCAAACTCCATTCCCCCCCAGCCTGGGGCCAGCCAGAGGTGGTATTTGCCAGTTCTCTTAACTACTCAAAATTTCCGTACTGGTTCTCCAGAACCTGTCAGAACCTGCTAGATTTCACCCCTGGTATGTATCGAGCACAGAAGCGAATATGCAACCTTCTCGACCCAAAGAAATCAGAGAATACTTTGAAGTCTTGAACAAATTGGACTCAACTCTATTTTTTCAAGTCTGACATTAAGTAACATAGCATCTGGTTGATTGACAACTCAGTTGAAAGTTGAGGATTGATCATGTTGGGCTATTAATTAAAAAACAACAAAGCATTATAACAAATTTAAATTTATTTTTTTTTAATTCTGCCTTTATTATTTTTTATAACCGATAAGCTTTTGTCTACTATAGCACATTTGTTCCGATACAGGAAGGGTTATTCTGATGACTGCTTTATAGAGAATGATCTTCTCTTTTTGATTCTACCTGGGCTGAAATGGGCTGCATTCCAAAAAGAGTAAACCTAAACCAAAACCATAATAAATGTGTTAATCCAGTGTGTTAATCCACTGTTCTTGGAGTGTACCGAGTAGGAGGGACTATTTAAAATTCCAACTTCTGTTTTCATCACATAGCCTCCATTGTATTTCTGCCTTTTAGACCACAGAGCTGAAGCTGCAAGAAAAACACATCGACAAAATTGAGTGGGGTAACCAGAGCTCTATAACATATTGGATTCGTGGATCAGTTGGGTTGTATACAGTAATTGAAGCCAGCAATGGAGTGATGCTCATTTGGGATAAGAAGACAACTATTTTCATCAAGTTGATGCCCTATCATAAAGTCAGTGCTTCTAGAACACTTTCCACATAACATTTTTATGTTACTAATGGATGAATATATTAAAAATATTTTCTTACAGTATTTATGTCTTAATATATACTATATATCTCTATGTATATTACAATTTACTTCTTGATAAATATAGATTAACGCAATATGCACAAGAAGTTATTGAACCCACCCGGGAGGACTCACTGAATGATGTTTAAATAGGATTTAAATATATAGAATAAAGGGGAGGAAGAGACACTTTCCTGTCCAACTTAGCTAAGCCTTGGGAAAATAGAACAAACCTTTTACTGGATCCAGCCCAAGGCAAACATCTAAAATGCTTAATGCAGGTTTACAATGCTTTTCCTTATTTACAGTAGGCTTCTTTTTCCATGCTAGTGATACATACCTGTTTGTAATTCTTTTAGTGTGTGGTGTGAAGATATTGCTGTTTACTTGGTAATGATTATTTTAAATAACTATAACAGCAGTGGAATACAGTGAATTTTCAAAATTGAATCTGGTTTAATTTCAAAAGTAAACAGACCAATTCTTTCCCTCTTTACACACTTATATTTGCTTTCTTCTTATATGGAAAGTTATGTACACAAAACTATGATTTGGAATAGTGCATGCAAAGGAAACAGCAGACTCTGTCACAGTTTTCTTAAATACTAACTTTGGGGTTTTTTTCCCCCCTTCTCTGGAACCCTAGACGCAATACAGGTAATTCCCGATTTAGGATCACACAATTGAGGCCAAAATTTCCATTGCTAAACAAGACAGTCGTTAAATGTTTTGCTTCATTTTACAACCTTTCTTGCCACAGTTGTTAAGTGAATTACTGGAATTGTTAAATTAGTAACATGGTGACAAAATGAATCTGGCTTCCCCAGATTGACTTTGCTTGTCAGAAGATTGCAAAAGGGAATCTCATGACCCTGAAACACTGCAACCATCATAAATACATGCTAGTTGCCAAGCATCCACATTTTGATCACATGACCATGGGGATGCTGCCATCGTAAATGTGTAAACCGTTGTAAATGTGAAAAACAGTCACAAGCCGCTTTTTTCCAGTGCTGTTGTAATTTCAAACAGTCACTAAACAAATAGTTGTACGTTGAGAACTACCTGTATTTCCACAACAGATCATGGTAGAAATATGAACTTGGTCAGTAAATTATTCAAATTCCTTTTAGCTTTGATGAAGTACTTTTCTTAACTTGCAGGGGAAAGTCTGTGGTTTGTGTGGTAACTTTGATAAAAAAGCCAGCAATGACTTTACAACAAGGAGTATGGCTCAAGACACAGTCAATGCCTTGACATTTGGAAATTCATGGAAAAAGGATCCGGCTTGCCCTGATGTAGACGTAGTCATTGAGCCCTGTGAGTTGAAGCCACATCGGAAAGCTTGGGCAGAGAAAGAGTGCAGCCTTATCAAAAGTGATACTTTTAAAATATGTCATCACAAGGTTAGTAGTTTTAGTTTGGTTCTGAGTTATTATGGCATTGGCAACTTTAAGATGTGTGGACTTCATCTCCCAGAATTCCCCAAAATGCTGGTCAAGGAATCCTGGGTGTTGAAGTCCACACATTGTAAAATTGCTAAGGTTGAAAAACACCTTATTAGGGAATGTTGTGACACAGTGTTCTTTAAAATAAAATAAACCACTCTCATTTGGGAGCCTCCGACTGTGTCCATTGGTGTTGCTGTACATCTGAACAATAGCTGCCCTGTATCAATTTTGGAAATGTTAATATATGAATCTTTTCCTTCCTGTTTCCACATTAATTTGCAATATTTGTTTTTTTAAAAATGTCATTTAAATACGTATTTAAATGTGTATTCTGAACATTTTCACAAGATACAAATTTAGAGATGCAATGACACTCCAGATATATATTTTCTAATATATTGCCATTTTAAAGATAGATTTTTAATTACATTATGGTAACCATTATTGAACTATGATATTCAGGGAAGGGGAAATTATGTGCTTAGTTTTATTCCAGTCCATTAGGACAGGAATTATTGATCAAATAATTCCATATTAGGTTCCACATAGACTGCTTTGCTTAAACACATTGAATCCAGAATGCAATGTTTAGCTATGTGAGGAAAGCAAACTTTAAGTAAAATTACAGTTTCCTTGCCCTGAGAATTGAGAGAAATGCTGAACAAAATTAAACTTTTAAGGCCCTGAAGCACCTTGGTGCTTCCAATGTGAACGGGATAGAACCTCATTCATCCATAGCATATAGACTTCTCTTGGGTAATTGGATGATCACCTTGCTCTTCTGTCTTCAAAGGAAAATGCAGTCATGCAAATATCCAAACGCTGTGATTCTGTAATTTTTCAACAGGTGGATCCACAGCCATACTATGAAGCCTGTGTACATGATGCCTGTGCCTGTGATACTGGGGGGGATTGTGAATGCTTCTGTACTGCAGTTGCTGCCTATGCGCATGAATGCATCAAAGCTGAAGCATGCGTCCATTGGAGAACTCCAGATATATGCCGTAAGCATTCCAGATAAACTATTAAAGTTCCAGGATAAGCATACAGTATCCAGTTATCTCAAAGGCTGATATTCTAGAAACACGAGACTATAATCTTTCCACAAGTCTAGATGTGTTTATTTAATTTAGCAAAACCTAATCTTGGTAAGGTTTATGCTAAAACTCTTTAATTTTGTGATAAGGAATCCCTGAGGGCAGATATCACCAGATGATGGTGGTGGTGGTGGTGGTGGTGGTGGTGGTGGTGGTGGTGGTGGTGATGATGATGATGATGATGATGATGATGATGATAATAATAATAATAATAATAATAATAATAATAATAACAACAACAACAACAACAACAACAACAACAACAACAATACAAATTATTATCAAATTACTATTATTGCCAAAATCATACATTGGAAGTGTTGCCAGAAGTTTGGGTTTGAATGCAGCAAAAATTCCTGAGAACACAAAATTGACAAAAGTTCTTCAAAACTAGCAAGTCAAGATCCTGTGGGATTTTCGGATGGCCCACAACACACTTTGTGGAAAAGAAAAAAAAGTCTGGTTCATTGATATCGCAATACCAGGTGATGCACGAATTGAAGAGAAACAGCTAGAAAAAATAACAAAATATTGTGATTTGCACATTGAAGTTGAGTGACTAGGAGGAAGAAATAGGAGCCCTGGGAGCAATACCCAAAGGGCTGCCTAGATACATGGAAATTTTGAACTTTTTAGAGCTGAATATATTGGAACTGCCTATATACTCAAATATTACCCTAACAGCTCTTAGGTCTTTGGTTAGGACTTGAACTGTTAAGCTTTTACCATTCCCAGATTGTGAATCAAATGGAAGATGATGATGATGATGATGATGATGATTATCTCTTTTATTCATTAAACATGAAACTCCATCAACTGAAAATTTAAAAATGCATCACAAATATCATTGACTGATGCTGATGGTTGATACGGGTTGCTGCCAGCATCCTAGGTATCAACCAAGTATTATATTATTATTATTATTATTATTATTATTATTATTATTATTATTATTATTATTCACAAACAAACAAATAAAAATCTCAAAAGGCAAACTTGATAGACCACTGGGTCATTTTATGCTGTTAGACAAGTCAATTTAGATAAAAATGTTGCAACAATCTACATAATTGCCTTTAAAGACACTATTCTGCTTCCAGTATGTACAAATATCCATGTACTTTTTATTAGAGACCCCTCCCCAAAACATAGATAATGTTAGCATCAAAGATAGGCAGCGTAGGATACCTATATAGGATACCTCAGCTGTATAGCTATAGGATGCGTACTTGTAGTGTTAGTCATTAGTTCCAGTGATGTCACACAGAGATATCTTACATACGAATTGGGAAAAAAAAATTTTTTTCTGCTTCTTTTCTAATGAGCAACTTTCTTTTTAAAGCAATCTTTTGTGAATACTACAATCCTAATGAAGATATATGTCGGTGGCACTATGAGCCTTGTGGACGTGATATTTTAACTTGCAAAATCCTCAATCAAGTCACCACCAACTTTTCAGTGTCATACTTAGAAGGTAAAAGACCTGTTAATTTGTAGTGGATTTATTCTTCAAAGATTGTTTGTTAGTCCAATATGGAGCTGGGAGAATGTAGTTGGGTCATTCACCTGGGTGGCCAATAAACAAACATAAAATAAAAGTCATTCAGTGAGCTGATCCACTTTGGTAGGAAAGCCATTTATGAGCCATGGTGGCACAGTGGTTAGAATGAAGTACTGCAGGCTACTTCTGCTGCTGCCGGCTGCCTGCAATTTGGCAGTTCAAATCTCACCAGGCTTAAGGTTGACTCAGCCTTCCATCCTTCTGAGGTGAGTAAAATGAGGACCCAGATTGTTGGGGGCATTATTCTGACTCTGTAAACCACTTAGAAAGGGCTATAAAGCACTATGAAGCAGTATATAAGTCTAAGTGCTGTTGCTATTGTTATTCCTATACTGCTTGTTTATTTTTGGACCCAAAATAGGATGGTGCCACTGAGGCCCTTCCTGGCATTTGGTTTGGAGTTTAGGAAACATCCTTGTCTCTGATTAATGAATGTTAGCTTCATTAGAATGAAGACTGTTAAATGCCTAGGAACATGATTTTTCTTTCTAATTGGCCATTTTATTTTTGTGCTTAGTCTACTAGACTGATTCTTTAAAAAACAGTTCCAAAGATGTAGACCTAAATTTCATCAGAGATAAAACATGGCATGAGTGTTTCTTTAGCTACCAAAGTCTTGACTCTCAGTCTTTAATGAAAAGGGGATATTTTTTGCCCCGTTTCTAGTATATTCTTAGTGTTACTACTCCAAGGGAAATATCAGAATAAACATGTACAGAAGACGTTCAGAACTGCATTTATCCCTTAGAAATGACATCCAGTCAACTGGCACACAATGAATAATTTCCATTTCCTTCTGATATATAAATTGAAGGTGTTATTCTTTAATCGAGTCTTTGGAGCATGTCTCTTTCATGCAATGCTTCTATGGCACAGACAGATAATAGCTGCCATTTTACAAAATGCATCTTTCTGGACATTAGGTTGCTACCCACGATGTCCTCCAGAATATCCAATCTACAACGAGGAGACCAAATTATGTGGAACAAAGGAAACATGTGGTTGCTACCATAATGATAATTACTATGTACCTGGAGAGCTCATCCCCAACTATGAACTGTGCCACTCTTGGTATGTGGAAGAACTGAAAAAAAGCATTTGAACAAATGTTGTTATTGAAACTATTCAGTTTCAAATGGTTGGGTTTGTGCGTGAGTGTATGATGAGAACAGCATTCTAAATTAGAAAGCACTTTTAGGATAGATTATATTGAAAAGGGTGAAAAGTTAAAAGAGATGAGAATGCAAAATTACATATTCTCTCCTCCAATTGCTCCTTCCTCCAGAAGTCAGTAAACTCATTTGATAGAAGAAAAGGAGCATGTCAGATAATCACCACCTTGTGTTTTTTTATAAGCTCCATAATGCTTCATATGCATCATTTATTTCTTATGATGGCCTAATAAATTAGGCAAGAATACCATTCTATGGATAAAGCAATTAGTGGGAAAAGCTGTTTTGGCTACCAAAGCGAACTGGTGTCCAGTGAGTTGGAACCAAGCTGCATGGAGAAGAAAAGAATAGTAGCAAGTCATACCTATGCTTCCTTACCCCACCCCACCCCCAACTGGCAAAACCACTGTGTATGCTGTTCTGAGTGGTCCTGATCTTTCTAGAAGAGATTGTTAGGAACTTTGGGAGTAGCAGTAAGAAGAGACAATGGGAGACCAGAGGTTTTCCCTACTGGGGTCATTCAATTCATGAAATTGTCTTCCACAGACCTCTATATGTGGAGAGATGTGCATCTGAGGAATCCAAGAAGATGGGGATGTCCTAGTTGAGAGTTTGGGTTTTTGACCATTCAAGTCACTCAGCTTGCTTTAGAACAGGGGTGTCAAACTGGAATTCTTTGAGGGCCGGATCAACATTGTAGTTGTCCTCCACGGGCCGGCTGACAGGGCGGCAAGGGAGATGGGATGGACACCTCTTGCAGCACCCCCTGTGCCCCATTTTCAGCCAGCAGAGGCACTGCAGGCCGGTCCTTTGCTATTTCCAGGCCAGCCCCGAGGGCCAGATCTAAGGATCCTATGGGCCAGATCCGGCCTGAGGGCCTTGAGTTTGATACCCCTGCTTTAGAATAAATAAAAAGTTAAAGAATAGTTTTGTGCAATTTCTTAATTTCTTCCTCACTTTATGGGACTTCAACTTTAGAGTCCCCATTAAAATGCCATTGTTTGTGATAAAAATGCTATATAAAGCAATGTACATGTAAGGCTATCTTTTCTACAAAAGGAAAATGTCAGGAAGTAATCTCCCTCCTTCTTTCTTCTTTTTAAAGAGAAAATACTGGCAAAGCGAAGGAGCTTAATTGGAAAAGAACTACCTAGTTTTTGCCAAAGTTTTTTGCCACATGGTAAAAAAAATTAAGGGGATGGGAATAAAAAACAAGCCCTATGGGGCAGTGTTTCCCAATTTTGACTTTGACTACCATAATTTCCTAGCTAGCACAGCTATTGCTGAGATTGCTGGGAGTTGAATTCTGCACACCTAAAAGTAGCCAGGATTGGGAAACGTTGCTCATACACCTGAAAAGGAAGGATCACAAATGACCAAGGTTGGCATTAATTTGGCATTAATTTCTGATTAGGCTTGGTCTGGCATTTCCATTTGCAGTATTGGCCTCATAGAAGTTATAGATATGTGGAGTTCACTTACCGAAGACCTGACTCCATTCTATTCTCATATCTATTCCTGCCAGCGTTAACTTCCTGTCCTGTGAAATTAAGTGAACAACTTACATTTATTATTAGAATTCCATTATGAATCCGGGGCACCAAAAGCACAATTGCAGATTGAATATAGTTAGGCTACAAGAATTTAACAAAACTTTAATATCAAAGTTTAATATTGCTAAATAAATAAAACTTAAAATATTTTGTTTCTGTTTTTTTAAAAAACTTTCAGTTACTGCGAGTCATCGGGAACTGTGACGTGTAAACCTAAAAAAGGTATGTTTTTCCTATGCAAAGAGCAAATCATGATTTGAGATGTTTGTTTTAAAATTCCAAATATTAAGAATGTCAGCTTTATTTTGTAACTTTTTTCTACACATGGTATATTTAAGAAAAGATGAATGAAGTCCCAGTAGCTATACATTTAGGTGTAAATATTTATTTGTTTGTTTTTTTTAAATTACCAGCAATCCTACAGTTCTAATCCTTCAGAGTACAATGTTTAGTATAGTTCTCTGCCAATTTACACAGCCATAATGATTCCTTGAGTTACAGGGAAACTTTTGATAATGGCCTGAGATGTTTGAAAGGTGGATATACAAACTAAATCCAATGAGACACATAATAGAGCTGATTGTTAAATCCACTCTGGAATAACACTGGCAGCTATAAATTATATTTTTCAATCTGTAAATTGATCGTTTAGAATCTTGTGAAGATGTATACAACTCTTTGAGGCTTATTTAGCAAAGGGAAGAGCGGATTTGGAAGCATTTTGCCAAGATTTTCCAGATAATGTCTCTCATGTTTTTTGTTATATGGATTCTACCTTTCCAGTGTCAAACGAGATGATAATAGTTATCTCTCATCCATTATTATGAGATCTTGTTAAGTTTATTATACCAGAGAATGAAGATGGAACATTTGAAAAACCAAAGCCAACTACCAGTGTGTTTGAACTTTACCAAACTATTTTAGCCAAAAGAGTAACAATAGCCAGAAGATTTTCAACCTGCCTGAAGCAATGATGAAAAAGCCTTTTCAAAAACTTGACAGGTTGATAATACTTACAACAGTTCATCAGTACACCAGTCACTCAAGGAGATGGTCAGCTCGTGTTTACTGGATGTTTAAATATAGAGGCTGGGCAGCATCACTTGGGAATGCTTTGAAATTAAATTCCTGAATCGAGCACTGTGGATGTTATGACCTCTTTCAGCTTTTTTTTTTTTTGAGTAATTTTTATTTTTTAAGACAAACAAACATTTAATACATCAATCCTCCTTTCCCTGTGAAATCTTGGTGTTATCTTCTAGGCTTCTTCTCCATCTTCCATAAGTTTCTTCTATCTTCATCTTCATCCGAACCATTCTAACATTTCATTGCTAAAATAATATTGTAATCATCATTTGTACATAGTTTATAATATCGGTCATCTATATCTCTTTTCCAACCAACTATAAAAATGATTCCATGTCTTAAAATATTCTGATTCTTCCTTATCCTTAACCAACAAAGTTAATCTATTCATTTCTGCACCTCTTTCAGTTTTAGGATTCTGAATTCTATAAATGACCAAACTGTCTCAAATTCCCATTTTGGGAAAGGTGACAGAATGATTCATAGCACAAGTAGTAAAATTTCTGGAGGAAACTGATTGTCTGGGGCAACTTAGTTTGGCCCTCAAACCGCTTAGACCTCTTTAACATTTTTGTTCAAGAACCTAGGTAGGCAAAATGTGTACCCATTGGTTCTCGCGACTCTTTCAGGAGTTTTCACTATTATTCATTGTGGGTTGCCTATCATGGATACTGACTATTCAGATTCAACCTCACATATAAGACCCAGAATGTAGATGTGAAAGAGTCTGTTCAATGTCATTGATGCTTTATGTAGTTTGCTAAAGATCGACAAGATTTCTACACTGGTTAATATTTATTTGAAATTGCTGGGAGAAGTAATCCAGGATATAGGATATGATATTTATAGGTAGATGATATCCAATTGGGCATTTCATTCTCAGCCCCAACTAATGGGGCTATTCATATCTTGAAATGACATCTGAAACCTGTAGAATTTGATGTTACAAACTGGGATTAAAACTGGGAAAAGAAGAAGTATTCTTTCTGAGGAATAAGGCTCCCTATGGGATTACATTTCTCTGAAGGAATGTATATATAATTTAGAGACATGCTCCCATTCAGCTTTGCTACTTGTTGCTCAGATCATCTCTCTCTTTTTCAAAATTTGGCTGGTATATCATTATGAACAGTTCTGCAGCGTTTTGACGTAACCCAAATCTTGTCACTTATCGATTAAATTATTATAATACTCTTCACATAGGTTTGCCCTTAAAGATTTTTTAGAAAGTATAGCTGGTCAAATATGGCAACCCAGGCAGGGGTGGGTTCTACTTACCTTTACTACCAATTTGCAATGGGGCTGCACATGCGAGCTTTGCTCATGCGTCTGCACACGTTGTTCTGCACATGCACAGAAGCGTTCTGATGACGTTGGGGTCAGTGGGCAGAGCCTCCTGCCGGTTTTACTACCAGTTCTATAGAACCGGTGCGAACCGGGAGCAACCCACCACTGAACCCAGGTTGTAACTGGCCGTAAAAGATCAAACTATAAAATAGCACTCTAGTTGGACTGGTTACCAGTTCACTTCTTGATGCAATTAAAGGTATTTATTTATTTTTTTAATTTAATTTAATTTATTTAGTTTGTCAAACATCTATGAGATAACAGGAATAAGTATAAACATGGATATGAACACAGGAAATGGATACGAATAAATGGGGACAGTAGGACAGGGACGGAAGGCACGCTGGTGCACTTATGCACACCCCCTACAGACTTCTTAGGAATGGGGTGAGGTCAACAGTAGACAGTCTAAGGTTAAAGTTTTGGGGGTTTGAGGATGTAACAACAGAGTCAGGTAGTGCATTCCAGGCATTGACCACTCTGTTGCTGAAGTCGTATTTTCTGCAATCGAGTTTGGAGCGGTTTATCTTGAGTTTGTATCTATTGTGTGCTCTTGTATTTTTGCGGTTGAAGCTGAAGTAGTCATTGACAGGTAGGACGTTGTAGCGGATAATTTTGTATACTACGCTTAGGTCGGACCTTAGGCGGCGCAGTTCTAGGTTGTCCAAGCCCAAAATTTGGATCAAAGCCCCTAAGAATCTGGCTGGCTTGTAAAAAAAAACTGTGACAGTTTCTTTTCTGAACTCACTCCTTCTGAAGTGAAGCTAGCATTGCAATGAAACAGTTGTTCAGCTCTCACGTTGTGAAATTCCTTCTGTTTGAACTTTGTTAATATATTTTTCCACAGAGTGTTGTGTTTATGATGGCAAAGAATATGGAGTGGGAGAGATCGTTGCTGACAAAACTGAAGATTGTGTGTACCTAATATGCACACTAAATGGCACCATGGAAACTAAGTATGATGGATGCAGTACAACTTCTCCTCCTACAACCACTTCCAGCACTACTACTACTACTACCACTCCTACTACCACCCCAAGTAAGCTTCCAGTGTTAATAATTCTTTTTATTGCCCTGGAGGATAATAAACATGTATAGAAATTTGGTTGATAATGCCATGTTGAGCTATGTTCAGTGTGGAAACTTTGTCAATTTTCTCTAAAACTCTTAAAATGAGCCAACCAAAATTTACTATTCTTTTTTCTCCATTTCAGTCTCTTCTACCACAGTTTCAACTACAAGTAAGTAATAAAAGCAATATGGGAACAGTCCAAAATTTAGCAGCATAAAGTACAATCTTTTCATTAAAAGGAACTCATGTACTATTCTTTTTCCCCCCCATTTCAGGCACTTCTACAATAAGTACAAGTAAGTACAAAACATGTTTAGTTCCATATTTTGTTGTTTTAAAGGAACAGGTTAGGAAATACTCAGTTAACCATGCTGAGAATTTGCAGGGACTGTTAGGAAAAGGAATGAAAGGAAATAAACATCCGGTTTATTTTCCATTTTGAAGTCATGGAGATTTTAAGAAAAAAAACACATAATATTTATAAATATTTGTATTAGTATACAGGTACTATACTGTACATCTTTGAGCTAAATTAAAATGCTCTGTGCTTACTATCTATGATACTATCAGATTACCAAATTGGGGCAACCTGTGTGTGCGTGAGAAAGAGGGAGGGAGAGAGAGAGGGAGGGAGAGATGTCAAGGTACATGTAAAAAAGGGGTATCAATTATGCAGGTGCAGCTATCATGTTGATTTCTTTGGAGACCTCTCTCTGTGGATACCCCTGAAATAAATTTAATGTTAGAAACTGAGTAAACTGAAATCCAAGTTTGAGCAAGGTTTTATACTGCTGCTTGATTTTGAGAAGACAGGCATATTACATAGAGTACTTATGGTGATTGTAGAATTAATGGTGGCTCTAGCATTAACAGACTGAGCAAAGCTAACATTGTACAGATTGAATGTTGTTGATGCCACAAGATGAGACAAGAAAATGATCAGAGTTATTGGAGAAAATTTACCTCAGTGTTGAGGGCTTATCAACATAAATGCACTCAGTGAAAGAAAGTTATTCTATGTTCAAGAATGAATGCATTATTTAAAGAAAAATATTTTCTCTACTTTTATGATAGCGCAAAGCTAATACTGTTTCCATATCAGAAAATGTAAACACAACTTCAACTTTTATATTGCAACCTGTTCCCATTCTAATTACCCTTGAACCATCAACATTTTAGCCTTCCTCCGATTCCACTTCCACCAACACATCTACACTAAAGAACATAAGACTGTTACTCCACACGAATATTACACACTACTCTTTCCTTTCTACCTCCCAATAACCCTAAGGTTTTTTTCAGTCCTCTCATAACCCACCAACCAATTAGTCACCCTCCCAATAAACAATGACAAACAAAAAACAATGGCTGTGAATTGGGAGGACAAGTAGAGTATAATTTATTTTATGGAGTGAGGGGTTTGAGAAATGGTACATGTAAACAGGCTTAAACAAATTCCTGTCAGTAACGTTATCTGTCACTTGGATCGATATCCTACTAAAATTCTGGATTTTCAGATATTTTCTGTGGGTTGTAATCCTCACTGAAGGAGAATACAGGACCAAAACTTTCTATTAAAAACAAAATTTCTGTTTCTATTAAATTTCTATTAAAAACAAAACAAAATAGATTGGAGGAGCAGAAGAGAAAAACATGTATGAACAATACAGTTCCACATCTGAGACAATTAATAATACTAGGACTAATTAGGTTTGAGCTGCAGAAAACCAGGCAACCATCAAGGGCAGCAAAGCATTGCCTCAATTTTTAAAGGTCAGGAGTTGTAGTCCTAAAGCAGGGATGGGTACCCAAAGTCCTTTTATGACTTGTGGACTTCAACTCCCAGAATTCCTGAGCCAACTGGCTCAGGAATTCTGGGAGTTGAAGTCCACAAGTCATAAAAGGACCTTGGGTACCCACCCCTGCACTAAAGAATATTCACAATCAAATATGTTAAAGAGCAAAGAAAGAAATCCTGATCCAAATACAAGCACTCTGTTAATTCTAACTTTTGTTATTTTATAACAGCATATCATACCTTGAACTATTGTTCTCACAATAGAAATTCTTTCTGTTTCTGTCACTCTTTCATTACAGCATCTTGTATAGACCAAGAATGTACATGGTCTGGATGGATTTCTGTGAGTGTCCCAGAAATTGGTATTGACAAAGGAGACAATGAAACTTATGAAAACATCAAACTGCACAACATAGAGATCTGCGAGAAGCCAGAAAATATATCATGCCGAGCAAAGAAGTTTCCTGACTGGTCTTTTGAGGACTTGCAACAGAAAGTGACATGTGATGTTTCCACTGGGCTTATTTGTAAAAACAAAGATCAGGTTCCTGGACCTGTAATTCCTGCACCAGTCTGTCTCGATTACGAAATCAACGTCTGCTGTCCGGTGGTGTGTTTTTCCACCACTCCCGAAAGCACTACTACCACAATTACCACTACTCCATCTACTACCACTCCAACACCTACTCCCACTCCAACACCTAGTACCACTACCACAATTACTCCCAGTCCATCTACTCCCACTCCAACACCTACTACCACCTCCACCTCTACTACCGAAAGCACTACTACTACAATTACCCCCACTCCATCTACTACCACTCCAACACCTACTACCACTCCAACACCTACTACCACTACCACAATTACCCCCACTCCATCTACTCCCACTCCAACACCTACTCCCACTCCAACACCTACTACCACTACAATAACCCCCACTCCATCTACTACCACTCCAACACCTACTCCTACTACCCCCTCTACTACCGAAAGCACTACTACCACAATTACCACCACTCCATCTACTACTACTCCAACACCTACTCCTACTACCACAACCGAAAGCACTACTACCACAATTACCCCTACTCCATCTACTACCACTCCAACGCCTACTTCTACTACCCCCTCTACTACTGAAACCACTACTACCACAATTACCACCACTCCATCTACTCCCACTTCAACATCTACTCCCACCACCATCTCTACACAAACGCCTACAAGTCCAACATCGGGATCGAGTACATTAGCACCCTGTGTGCTAGGAAATACAACCGTTAGTAATTCTTATTCTATTTATTTACATATTTAAAATTATGCATGGAACTTGGAGTATGTTTATGTCTTCAATGCTCAGATGCTTTGCTAAATATCTTTGGATGCATAAAAGGCAGAATTTGTACAACAATTATTTGAAAGAGAAAATTATCTCCAAAATGTGCCTTAGAAAATTATGTTTTCAAAATTTCTGGGCAAGTCAGAATTAATTTTGTACATGAATTTTTACTCATACTGGCTCATCTTCAAGTTTCAATAGAAATCTATTGTAAAGGCGTGATCTTTTTAAATGAGGCAAAATGTACAAAATTAATTATGACGATAAGAACATAAACATATCATGACTTAGGTCCATTTTATTGTATATATTTGAAAAATGTAGCTAAAATTATGCTGCTTGTCACTGGAATTAGATTTCACTTAAATGATCAAGTTTTGGGTTTACTGGATGAGGATTTTGGGGATTTTAGTCCAACACAGCTAGACGTTATTATTTTTTTTTTAGTAGATTTAAATCCCACTATTTTATTTAGGAGGTGGGATATAGCGGGAGGTGGTTCAAAGTGATATACCTAGCACTGTCTCCTGTTTTTTTTCTTCTTCCTGAGAGATTGTACTGAGAGAATGCAACTGGTCCCAAACCATCCAGTGAATTTGGTCCAAAGGCAACTGGACTTTGTTTTCCCCTGAAGATGTTTCGCTTCTCATCCTAGAAGCTTCTTCAGTTCTGACTAAATGATGGAGCATCGAAGGATCCATATTCCTTGCAATCATCTAGTCCTTAGCACTCTTTCTGAGAGTCATTGAGGCCACTTGGAGATTTATCTGTGCCCTCGGGGTCACCTGAATAGTGCAAATGGGTGTGGAACCTTCTTGGAACTGCTGAAAGGACTGTGTTGTAAACAGGAGATAGGGGGTGTCGTATCCATCCTCCTCTGTGGCGAGAGAGCTGTTCAATCTTAATGTAGATGGCCTCTTTGACCCTTCTTTCAAACCATGACCTGGATGGCTGAGAATCTCCAGAGACATCTAGTGAACTTCCATGCTGGGTTTCTTCACTCCTAGCCCAGCATCTGATGTGCATTCCTTCCCTCAAATTGGAGAGGGCCAAATTATTTTCCTTGACTGGTTCTTACATTAACCAAAGGGGAAAAATGCTTTTGTCATATGAACTGATTCCAATTTCCTATACGGTCTCAGTTTAAGCATAGTTAAAGGTAAAGGTAAAGGTTCCCCTCGCACATATGTGCTAGTTGTTCCCGACAATAGGGGGCAGTGCTCATCTCCGTTTCAAAGCCGAAGAGCCAGCGCTGTCTGAAGACATCTCCGTGGTCATGTGGCCAGCATGACTAAACGCCAAAGGCGCACGGAACGCTGTTACCTTCCCACCAAAGATGGTTCCTATTTTTCTACTTGCATTTTTTTATGTGCTTTCGAACTGCTAGGTTGGCAGAAGCTGGGACAAGTAATGGGAGCTCACCCCGTTATGCGGCACTAGGGATTCAAACCCCTGAACTGCCAAACTTTTGATCGACAAGCTCAGCATCTTAGCCACTGAGCCACCACGTCCCTTTTAACTTTTAAGCATAGTTAAATCTTATCTAATGTCACACGCAAAGCCATCGTACCTGGTGTTATATTACCAAATACTATTGTAATGCTCTCTACATGGGGCTCCCCTCATGGGGCTCCCCTTGAGGAGCACCCGGAGGCTCTAACTGGCGCAGAGTGCGGCCGCGCGGGTGGTAATGGGAGCGACATGGCGCTCCCATGTAACACCTCTCCTGCACGAGCTGCACTGGCTCCCAGTGGTCTTCCAGGTGCGCTTCAAGGTTTTGGTTACCACCTTTAAAGCGCTCCATGGCTTAGGACCTGGTTATTTACGGGACTGCCTACTACCACCAATAGCCTCCCACCGGCCAGTACGCTCTCATAGAGGGGGACTCCTCCGGGTGCCGTCAGCCAAACAGTGTCGACTGGTGGCCCCTAGGGGGAGAGCCTTCTCTGTGGGGGCACCTACCATCTGGAATGAGCTCCCCCCGGAGATACGGAGGATCCCGGATTTGCGCTCCTTCCGCCGTGCTGTGAAGACCTTTTTATTCCATCAGGCGGGCTTGGCCTAATTTCTTCCCTTTTTAAATATGTAAATTTTAATCTGTTTTTAAATTATTGGGGTGTTTTAATCTGTCTGGGCCAAAATGATTTAATTTGATTTTATCTGGTTTTTAAATTTTTTGTATTTATGTATTTTATTTTTGGCTGTTCACCGCCCTGAGTCCTTCAGGAGTAGGGCGGTATACAAATCAAATAAACCAAACCTAAACCTAAACCAGAACACATTAAAACAAATTCAACGTATTAGTGCATGGATGTCAAACTCAATTTCACTGAGGGCCATATCAGGGTTGTATTTGACCTCAAGAGGCTGGGGGTGGGCAGGGCCAGGTTGGGCATGGCCAGCTCAACATCACTTATTTCGGGGGTGCCTCGGGCAGCCTGAGCTCTCTGCCAGCAAAAATAGGCTCCTGAACTCCGTTTTTGGCTGCGACAGCGTCCTACAATCTCTGCCCGCGAAAACGGAGCTCAGGAGGGCTGCATGCGGCCCTCACAAGCTCTGTTTTCAGTGTCAGAGGCACTGCAGGCCAGTCCTTTGCTGTTTCCAGAGTGGCCCCGCAGGCCAGATCTAAGCACCCTGTGTGCTGGATCTGGCCCCTGGGCCTTGAGTTTGACACCCCGGTACTAGTGCATAGCTTTGAGATCCATAATTTAAATGACAACAACAAAGGCAGGTGTTGAGTGGGAATAAGAATAATAAGTGAAATGGCTTGCCTCCAGAAGTTGTGGGCGCTCCAACACGAGAGGTTTTTAAGAAGATATTGGACAACCATTTGTCTGAAATGGCTCAGGGTTTCCTGCTTGAGCAGGGGGTTGGACTAGAGGATCTCCAAACTCTCTTCCAACTCTGTTTTTCTGTTAAGTTAGTTCTTCTAATCCATTCATATATTGCATGTTTGGTCAGGATTATAAAGTGTGATACATTTTTTTCTCTGTTGTCTCAGATACCACCAGGAGAAAGTGGGGGGATATGTAATTGCACCGAGTTAATATGTGTTACGGATAACCTATGGGAGATGTACCCTATCGAGTGCAACACTCCACCAAAGCCCACATGTGCCAATGGGCTTGCTCCTATAGAAGTATTAGATGAAAATCAATGCTGCACACATTGGGAATGTGACTGTGAGTACATATATTTATATAAACAATTTTGATGTTCTCTTGAAGCTCAAGAGAACTCCTCAAGCTATTGGACTGGTGTTGTATTGCACATACTGTTATTACCTGAAAGAGCTGCTAATTCCTATAAATTGAACTTGGAGTGAAGAGATTCAGGGATCAGTTTCAGGAGAGGTTGTGATGAAAATATAAAGAAAGGCATTCTCTAAAAAAAATGCAAGAAAATACATCGATCCATGTTCAAACAACAAGAAATCAACACTTAGGCCTTTGACAGTAAGAATGTTTCCTGGTTATAGAAAATTAGCATGCAGAAACACTACCTTATTTGGTAGACAATTAAACTGAAGGAAACTAAATACTATATTAATAAGAAAGCCAGTTTGTGTAGTGCTTAAGGCACTAGGCAAGAGACTCAGAGTTCTAGTCCTGTCTGAGGCACAAAACCAGCTGAGTGACTTTGGGCCATTCATTCTCTTTCAGCCCTAGGAAGAAGGCAATGGCAACTCACTTCCAAAATCTTACCAAGAAAACTTCTGGAACTTGTCCAGGCAGTCACCCAGAATCAGCACTGACTCAAAAGCATTCTGAAATAAATAGTTAAAATAATTGAAAAAAAAATACTAATGATATATTCAGATATCATTTCAAGCATGCTATTGCTGCTGGGAGGAATTTCTCATGTCATAGATGGAACAGATACAATTAGTAAAATAACATATAAAGTATCTAATTAATGAAAAAGTTTTATTTAGCATAAACTAACTGTATATATTGGCACTGCTGAATAAAACAAATAACAGTCTTTTAAAAAAGAGATGCAGATAAATTTATTCTTGTGAAAGAATACATGCAGATAGGTAAATAAATAAATGAAATTAACCTAATGAAACTTTAGATTAGTAAATCTAATCAATTCAAATAAATAAAAATGCTTTCCCCCATCCTATTCTTATTATCTAGCAATTGCTTAAAATACTGAGCAAAATCAAAATTAAAAAGTGAAAGGAAGGAAAGAACAGTTTCCAGTGGGCTTTTCCCACTGAAATGTTTCTGTCGCTCCTCGGGGATAATTCTGTACTTGAGAAGCAATGTGAGAATTTCTCTTTCTTCTGGAGAAATTTCAAAGAATTGTTCACTCAAGGTTTTTTGGCCCCCAAATTTGTCAGACAATTTCAACATCCCATTTGTGCTCATCTCTGTAAATGAGAATGACAATGCTTTATTCCAATCACAGGTTTCTTGACAATTTTTTCTAGATTTTCCAGATTAATTTATTCTCAAAATCTATTAGGAACCCCTGCCATTTCTTTTAGTTATTTATAGGAGTTCCCAGCAAATAATCAACACTATTGTCTTTCTGAAGGCTATTGCACTGGCTGGGGAGACCCACATTACATGACATTTGATGGCCTCTACTACAGTTACCAAGGTAATTGTACCTATGTCCTAATGGAAGAGATTAATCCTACCATCCACAACTTTGGAGTGTACATCGATAACTACCACTGTGATCCAGCGCAATCTGTCTCTTGCACCCGTACTCTCACCGTAAAGCACGAGTCCCAGGAAGTGCGCCTCAAAACGGTCAACCTGATTCCTTTGAAAGTAGAGGTACGTGTAGAATGGCTTACATTTCAGTACAAAATTGTAAACAATGGTTATGACTAGCAAATCTTTACTTACCTAGGTTCAACTGACAATTTACTCTACCAACCCTGCATATGGCCAGTAGCAGACAGCCTCTGAGACACATATCATGCAGAGTATATTACAATACTTCTCACTGTTACTTCACAGCAACCCTTTCAATAGATAATTTACAGATTGTTCATATTAATGTTCCAATTTTATTGTCTCCAGTTTCCATCTCAGGTGAAAAAACCTGAGTAAAAAAAAACCTCTTATCTTTGAGGAAGTGCTTTCCTCCATAAACTCTAATATTAAAAGTGATCTTGGGTTGCTTGAGGTTCTACAATATCTATGTGGTGGAATGTCTGTGTTATTTTTGGTCAGGTAGCCATGTCCATAGTTTGGAAGGAGGGAAGTTGGTTGAAGGCAGCCACATTTTTCTCATTCTTCAAGAAGAATGGCTTTTCTCTCCTATCTCTTTCAGGCAACTCTGTGGCTTTTTCTTGTTCCTTTCACTAAATCCTTACTTGCTGGCATAATTCAGACAATGTCTACCAGGTGGCTTCATGGATTTCACTACAATAGAATTTTGAAATGCACTTTCATTTAAAGCAGAGAGAGGAAGGCTGTGGAAAGGAGAAAAGAACACATGATCTTAGTAATCACAGCTATAAGTCATTCACAGTTCATACCTTAATACTAGTGGTGAAATCCAAATTTTTTTACTACCGGTTCTGTGGGCGTGGCTTGATAAGTGTGGCATGGCTTGGTGGGTGTGGCTTGGTGGGCACGGCAGGAGAAGGATACTGCAAAATCCCCATTCCCTCCCCACTCCTGGGAAAGGATATTGTAAAATCTCCATTCCCACCCCACTCTGGAGCCAGCCAGAGGTGGTATTTGCCAGTTCTCAAACTACTCAAAATTTCCACTACCAGTTCTCTGAACTGCTCAAAATTTCCGCTACCGGTTCTCCAGAACCTGTCAGAACCTGCTGGATTTCACCCCTGCTTAATACACCTTTAGTGCCAACTCTCTCCAATTATTCACCCAGTGTTGAGAATTTTATACCTGTTTCAGGCAAAGCAAATACACTCCCCCCCCCAATTCTATCATTCAGTTTTAAAAAGCACATTGAGCTTCTCTCCCCGCCCCCCCAATCTCTGTTGACGAAAATCCTAATTTGACCTGATAGCCAGCCCATCTGCCCCAGAAAGAGTGAATTTACAAGACAAGGCTTCTCCCATTTCATGGATTCAAGCTGGGAAATTTCTGACATACAATTGGATTCATACCTTGCATCAACCAGATTTACCTGTATCACCTAAGATCTTTACTCAAACTGTGACATGAATTTGTTGAAATAATAATTGAAACTGATGGGAACCACTAGTCTACCTCAGGCCGAGATGATGGCTTTAGACAACAAATGTTGCAAGTATATTTTTATTTTGTGCATTTAGTCAACTATCATGTAATTAAAAGGCTCAGTCATATTATGGGATAGATGGGCTGGCTATCAGGTCAAATTAGGATTTTCGTCAACAGAGATTTGGGGGGGGAGAAGTTCAATGTGCTTTTTAAAACTGACTGATAGAATTGGGAGGGGGAGTGTATTTGCTTTGTCTGAAACAGGTATAAGGCAGGCTAGTTGACAAAACCATGTTTTGAGGTTCTTCCAGAGTCTGTCTGTTTGTCTGCCAGCCAGCCTGCTTGCCTGTCAGCCTGCCTATATATAAAATCTTCTTAGGTATAGCATAATTAAAATATATGTTGGGGGGGGAGTATTTCATTATAACCACGGTTCCTATTTAATTATATTTTTTCTGGCTCCTTGAACATTAGGTGACTGTGAATCATGTGACAGTGTGTTTACCTTATGAAAAATACAGCTTGAAGGTTTACAAGGCTGGTATAAATCATGTGGTGGAACTAACTAGATTGAAGATTAATGTAACATACAATGGCATGGCCTTCACAATCCGGATGCCCTATAGCACTTTTGCCAACAATACCCAGGGACAATGTGGTAAGAATGACTATACTTATGTTTGTAAAAATGAACACTGTAAAGTAGATGATTGCAAAACTATCTGGAACGTAGGAGATAGACATTCTGACATAACATCCAAACGGCCAATCCTAACATATATAAATTATGTAATAATAATTTTGCATGTCATTGATTTTTTTTTTTTTTGCAACACTGAGGATTGTTGACATACGATATAAAAAGCAAGCATGCAAAGGAAAGTACAAAAGCTTTTGGTATTCAGCTGTGTGACTTTGTATATGGTTTTCCCCTTCTTTTTATTCTTCGTATTGTTATTGTCAAGTATAAAGGTTATTGCTGACTTTTGCATATTACTGTTATTACAAATTTAGATAGCAAATTATTCTTCATCAAATAGTAGGATGGAAATGTAAGTATGAATTTTTGTGTGGTTCCTTTGTCACTTCAATTTAGGAAAATGCAACAACAATATTCACGATGATTGTATGTTACGGAATGGGACTGTTATACCTTCCTGTGAAATAATGGCAGATGACTGGATTGTTTATGATCCAGAAAAACCACATTGTGAACATATGCCCCCACCCACACCTACAAAACCCCCATCCCCACCCTGCAAACCATCTCAGTTGTGTGAGCTTCTAAAAGGAAGGTAAATAGTCTGTACATTATTTTCACATTTGATTTTTTTTTCTGATTTTAAACCATGCTATACACTTATGATTTGATTTTTCACCAGTAGCCTGCTCTGCTGAGCAATTTTATTTTAGAAAATCATAGTGTGCTTATATTTGTCATTCTGGGACCATTGACTTATCTGTCTGTCTGTCTGTCTGTCTGTCTGTCTGTCTGTCTGTCTGTCTGTCTGTCTGTCTGTCTACCTACCTACTTATCTATCTATCTATCTATCTATCTATCTATCTATCTATCTATCTATCTATCTATCTATCTATCTATCTATTTATCTATTTATCTATCTATCTATCTATCTATCCGCCGTTAATAACTTTCCAGTTTGATCTAGTGACATTGCCCTCATCACACCCTCAACTCATTCATGAAATGGTCTTGTCATTATCTGTCCTGAAATAAAAACAATATTTTATCTCTTAAATTGACACCATCCAACCATAATGTCATGGTGTGGATCATTCTAGAGCTTTTTGTCAGCCGTATAATGGTCACCTAACCTGTTATGGGTATCAGTAGAGGTTTATTTGGGAAGTGTTGGATCAGCAAGGTGATACAGAAAATTCTAACTCTTTGCTGCATTCTAAGTTGCCCAGAATTTTACAACTCAAACTGGATAGTTTTTAAATCTGGCCATAGAACCTTACATTACTTTCCCTGCTAGTTTAGTAGAATGTTCACTATCTTTATGTAAGGTATCTGGAGGATAAACACTTACCTTGAAGAAACGCTCCTATACCATCCATGACCTCATACTTATTATATATATATATATATTTATCCAGTTTATTTCAGAAATGTCATCACTTTGTTGAAGTTAAAAGCTACTATGATGCCTGCGTATTTGATAGCTGCAGAATGCCCAACCAATCCATGGAATGTGCAAGTCTTCAAATTTATGCAGCAACCTGTGCAGATCAGGGGGTTTGCATTGACTGGAGAGGACATACCGAGAAAGCATGTCGTAAGTGTCTCCATTTCTAAAATTTGTCTGGAACTGAATAAAGAACTATAGGACATGCCTTTCCAAACCATCGCTCCCACTTTAGCGGGAGAACATCAATGAAATTGTGTACAGTAATTTGAAACGTCTTACTTTACTTAGATGATTGTATTTTCTATTGCTGGAGACTATTCTTCTTTTTCTTGAAACATGGTCAATCTGTAGCTGAAATGCTCTAGGGATAAGAAAATTGTAGAAGGTGTATCAACATTTGGAAGGTTCATGTTAACAGCAAAGAAATAGCAGATGAATGAAAAAGTGGAATGTGGAGAATGGTGACAGGTCACCCTCCATTTCTCTTTTCTTTTGCTAGCATCTCCTGGGTTTTTCCCAATATACTCAGTTACTCAGTCTCCTAATGTGGGTAGCCTATGCAGGAGAAATTAGATCATTTCATACACTAGAAGTAGTGTCCTATGTGATATGCTCATCCCATCAAGAGAAGAGAAGGTGTAAAAAAAATTGGATAGTAGAAAAAAGTGAGCTTTTTCTGTAATCATAGAACAGAAGATAACTTTGTAATCATACTTGCAAAGGAAATCAGAAGCTTCTTTTTATTTCTTTGCATCCTTTCTCTTCATTTTTCTTTTTTCTTTCTCTCTTTCTTTGTTCTCTTCATTCTGTATCATTAGTTTTTATGTTCTCTTTAAAACGTTTAATTAAAAATGTATATAAAAAAGAGAGGAGGGTGGAAGAGGTCCAGGAAGGAAGAAGTATAGGCCAATTAATCTCTTTCTACCACCTTCTCCCTTCTCTTGCTTCTAAGGGCTAACAAAGTGTACCTTCCTCCTTAGCTTAATCTTATCTCCTAGTTCATGAATGAATCTTGGGTTGTTATTCATAGCACGAGCATAAAAATTATATTATTCCCCAAATGTGGTATCCAAAGGCAGTCCCAAAGAATATAAAATCTGCTAAACTTTTCCACACTTTATTTTGGAAGGTGTTATCATTCATCCATTGTATCATCTTTATCTGTATTCTCCCTCCTTTTTGTTTTCCAGCCATTGTCTGCCCATCCAATAAAGTGTACAAAGCATGTGGTCCTGCTGTAGAAGAAACTTGCAAATCAGGGTAATTCATTTTCTGACATTCCAGACTCAGAATTATTTCAATGTGATTATTTTTGCAGTTGTTTAATATAATATGCCTGTGTGTCACCTTAGATAGCAGGGCTCCTATCCTGTTAAAAGGAATCCAGAACTCAGTTTTTGGGTGAGATGAGCAGCCATATAAATGTGATAAATAAGTAAATGAAAACTCTTAAAATGCTGGATCTGTCTTAGAAAGCTGAAATATATAATCTATGAATGCATACCATACAATTTACACATTTATTGGGGCAGTCATTTAGTATAAGTAACACATCCCTTCCTGCCCTCTGAGTTGTCCTATGATTCTGGGAAGCAACACTTGACAGATACTGCACTTGTCCTTCTATATGTCCCCAAACACCTTTAATTAAAGCTGCAAGTTTTTGTTAGATATGTGAAAAAGAATTGTTGATTCATTTACCTTTTTCTGTTGTAGCTCAATAGGACAAAACCAGACAAAACAAATGGAAGGGTGCTTCTGTCCTGATGGGACAAAACTTTATGACACTGGTATAGATGTATGTGTGGAAATTTGTGGTAAGTTTGGGTTCTGACTCTTCTTTTTCTCAAACATACTTAGGATGTAGTCCAATATATGCTTGCATCTGGGAGTAAATCTCATTGAACTCAATGGAGTTTACTTCTCAGTTGGCATGTATAAAATTACATTTTACTGTTCTTATTAATACAATTTAAATAATAGAAATTATCTTAACATTAATAGAAATATCTTTGTTTTTAGGATGTGTTGGACCAGACAATATTCCCAGAAAGGTAAGCAACATGTCTGTTTTTTATGCATGAGTTTGACAATGAACTCTATATTTTCTGCAGTAGGTTTGCTTTATGATAGAATTCTGACTTTTTTCCCTATCAACTGTATTTTACATTATACTTTCATCTACTTGCAGAGGTTATCCATGCTAATAAAGCTATGTGATAAAGAATTGGAGGAGGGTAGCTTGATCAGGGATGCACAGACCTTTGCTTAGCAGAAAGTCACTGTCTTCTATGAAAGTCACTAGTATTATATGAGTGGCAAGACTTTGAAACAATCAAACAAACAAAAAATCTATTGATGACAGCTATGGTAATAATATATTAAGGTTTATTATAAATCTTACAGGAATTTCAATGAGTCAACAATTATGATTATTATATTACTAAACTCAAGATGGTGGTGGCAATTGTATGCAATTTATATGTTGCCCAAAGTCACCTTGGGTAGCGAGATAGGTGGTATATAAATTTAGTAAATAAATAATAATATCAAAACTCCAGCCCTTTTTATGTGCATCATGTATAAAAAGGTTCTGAGCTTCTGACAAGTGAATGGAGCTGCCATTTTTAGTTCTTTACCTGCCAATGCCCCCTATCCAATGAGTTGAGTAATCCCTTTGGTTAACTCCTAGAAATTCCTGTAACATTTATGATAGTCCTTCAATGGTGCGTATAGGGGGGATCAGGTTTATGCTGCTTAATATTCTATAGGTTCTTACACTATTAACCAGTTACTCTTTCTCATTGACAGTATGGGGAGACCTTTCAGTTTGACTGCAAAGACTGTATTTGCCTGGAGGGTGGAAATGGCATTATCTGTGAACCCCAAAAGTGTCCAGTACCAGATCATGAAGTACAGTGTGAAGGAGAAGGATATCAAAAGATCACCCAAATTAATCCTGATGACAAATGCTGTTCAGATACTGTGTGTGGTGAGTATGTCCATGTGGGTACCATATGTCAATGACAGTGATACTGTATGATCTATACTCTGTACATTTAGCAATTGCAATAGCACTTAGACTTATATACTGCTTCATAGTGCTTTACAGCCCTCTCTAAGCAGTTTACAGAGTCAGCATATTGCTCCCAATAATCTGGGGCCTAATTTTACCAACCTCAGAAGGATGGAAGGCTAAGTCAACACTGAGCCTCTCAGATTCAAACTCCTGGAGTGAGCAGTAAGTTAGCCTGCAGTACTACATTCTAACCATTGGGCCACCATTTATTTTTTAGTGTCATCTCTCTCAGGCAATCAGGCTTGAATCTCTCAGTATAGAAAATATAAGTGTATTTCAAGTGATGTGCATTTGTGATCCAACTCATTTATAAAGCATTATTACAAAGTAAGCTAACTTAATAAGATTTTCTCATTACAGTTTTTTCAATCTATAGGAGAGTCTGTAAACTTAAAGAATTTCTAAGAGTACAGTTGCTTTATTCTGCAATAGATTATGCTTAGAAGAAAAAGGATAATTTGCCAGTGTAGAAGTTGATTTTTTCTTTTCTCCATCATAGTGTGCAACACCTCTCAATGTACGACCAAGCCTCCTCAGTGTGATCCAGGCTTCATAGCTGTTGCAAACACCACTGAAGAACGCTGTTGTCCTTCTTATCAATGCAGTAAGTCTCTTTTAACTAACTTTGGAAGGATGAATATATGACTTTGGAAAATTCAGCTTGAGACTTTGATCCTAAATGTTAGAATTATGTCCAGTTATTATCAATGGAAATTGATTCCACAAAATATTTATTTTATCACCTAACACTTATCAGCTGAAAGCAAATCAAATTTAGAGTACAGGTACTTTGCAATGAACTGCATAATATCCTGCTCACAGATTTTTTAAAAATTCCTTCCATATCTATAAATTTGTCTTTTTTCTTGCCCATCTGTAAAATATACCTAATTTATACATCCTTGTTTTTAATGCATTAATTTGAGCAATACATAATAGAGATCTATAATCCCTATCCACCTTGAGTTCATGTAAACTTCAGTAGAACATTTAATGGAGGTGACTGATAATTAGGAATGAAGATCTTGGTTCACTTAAAGTAAAGTTAAAGGTTCCCCTTGCACATATGTGCTAGTCGTTCCTGACTTTAGGGGGCGGTGCTCATCTCCGTTTCAAAGCCAAAGAGCCAGCGCTGTCTGAAGATATCTCTGTGGTCATATGGCCAGCATGACTAAACGCCAAAGGTGCACAGAACACTGTTACCTTCCCACCAAAGGTGGTCCCTATTTTTCTACTTGCATTTTTTACGTGCTTTCGAACTGCTAGGTTGGTAGAAGCTGGGACAAGTAACGGGAGCTCACCCCGTTACGCAGCACTAGGGATACGAACTGCTGAACTGCCAACCTTTTGATCGACAAGCTCAGCATCTTAGCCACTGAGCCACCACATCCCTGGTTCACTTACATTTCCCCAAATCTCTCACCACTGGCCATGTTGGGATCTATGGTGGTTTTAAAACAAACTATTTGGGTAACTATAGATTCTACATCCATAAGGTACTGCACAGTTCAGAGTTGTTTAGATAAATAAGTAAATAAGTAAGTAAATAAATAGCAATATCTTCAGTAGGCATCAGTGAATGCCATAATTGGGGAGAAAAGATGAGAAAATGTGTTGTTACTTTACTTAAAATTACATAGTAGAGAAAGTATATCAATAATAATATAGTTACTTTTAAGCAAAGTGCCTAAAGTACTGACAAAGATTTTTAAACAATTATTTTCTCTAGATCCTAAAAATGTGTGTGTGAAGGATGGTAATGAATATAAGGTAAAGTTTTCCTTTCTTCTTAAGAGGGATTTTTTTTAAAAAAATAATCAAACTCATAGCCTACCTTTTTATCAGAGTTGCAACTCTAGAAGGCTTATTTATAAAGGTAAATAACAAGAATGAGTTATAATTGAAAGTTAGTGAACATCATGTAAGGGAAAATAGCAAAACCAAGAAAAGAGTTGTAGAAGACTTAGGGAACATGCCTACTGTATACACCCTCACCCAAGGCATTCTGGGATAACCAGGATTCCAGCACATAACCTGCTTTTAGAACCAACCCACTTATCCAGTTGTGTTACTGCACTTAGGTCTTTCAGGACACACAAAGTACATATCTAGTTAGAAATAAGTTCTATTGATACTATAGAAAACCCTATGCTTGTTTATAAGTGAACAGGTCTCATTGAGCTCAGCAGTATTTGTTTCTGTCTAGACCAAGACTTGTGGGTCTGTGGCCCACAGACTGGAAAAGTCTCCTCAACAGATTATGCTGGAACTATTGTGCTGGCCAGTTGGGAGAAGTTGCAGTTGTGCATTGTTGTTATCAAGTATATACTGTTTGCTAGTTTAGCAGTAAGAAGACCCAAACCATCTCTGGCTTTGGGATGGAGGGTAAAAAAGCAGTGAGAAACTCTTGTCTCCAAGGCAAAAGTTGATTGACTGTAGCTAGGAAGCACAGTATGCTTTAAAGTGAGACATACGATTCTGCAGACTCAAATGGCTGATCAGAGCAATGTTTTCAACCATGCTGGACTGTGCAAGTGACAAAAAAAGAGGAAGAGTAATGAAGAGCTGGGTTAGCAAAAGGGCATATCTAAGCCCCATTAGGAAGTTGTAGAAATAAAGCAGAGGATATGGCTGTAGTGTTGCCACGACTGATTTGTGATGAGAAGTGGGAGGACAGTCACGAGAATGGGATTGAGAAGCCTTCAAAGATGTTGTTCAGGAATCCTCATTTCTTGCCTAAACATGCATTATGAAAAAAATAAAAAGAGGCAAAAGCATAAAAGGATTAATAGTAAGGGGATATCAGCCTTCTGGGTAAACCAGATAGGAAACATGATTAGATGAGTTAATTCTACTTTAATTGTAAGGCTACATTAACAGACTCATGCAAATCTGAAGTACAAACTACTAGCTGAATTTTTGACCGTCCGATTAATTAAGTTTCTTTTTTTGACTGTTAAGCCACTAAGGGCTCTTCTTGCCTCTCTTGTCTGATCATTTCCTAGGCAATATCTCTTTTCCCATCCTGAAGGCCATTCTCGAATACCATTATAAGGGAATAGTAAAGTAGACAAATAGCAAGAATAGAAATAAAGAGTTAGAGGCTTAAAAATCCATGTAATAAATTCTAGAATTGCAGCAAATTCTCTAATCCCCAGTGGCCTTTCTCATATCAGAGTTTCAATGATTTTGTAACAAGTATATTGCATCAGATCTGCTTTATCTTATTCTTTGCTAATGGATGAATCCCCTTGCTTTGTTCCAGCCTGGTTCAGAAGTCTTAGGAAGCCGGTGCGAACAGTGTAAATGCACAAATGAACAAAACACCACCACTCTTCTGAATATCATAGAGTGTAAGACTATCCCATGTAACGTGAAGTGCCAGGAGGTAAGTAGTTCCACTTATATAAGCAGACAAAGCAATATGTGGGAAAACAAGAGGACAAGCAGGATTGTGGAAGAACTGTTCCCTGTAACCTAATGTTGTGACATTCCCAAATTTGAGGACAAGCTTCACTCTTAAGATAGAGTGAAGTAGCCATTTCTGACAGTAGAAATGCTCAACTGAGAACAGCAGATATAGCAGAATAGATGTCTTCCCATCCATGCTAGCACATTGTCCCCAGATGGATTGAAAGCTGTCATTCTGCAGCCAATATTCAAGCAAGATTTTTTTTCCCCCACAACGATCAATTTACGCATACAACTGGAATAGAGAGATTTTCATCCTTTGCCTTTAGCAGGAAAAGTATCTTGGGTCAACCATAAAGAACAAAATATCATTAAGAAAGGAAAAAAACCCAAGGTGGAAAAAAAAAGCCAAAACAGTTTTTTAAAAAGAGAATTGAACATTGTGGATAGGCCCCAAATGCTGAGAAGGAGGAAGTAGAAATCTTGGTAGTAAAGTGGTTGAATGGAAGATGGAAGGCAAGTAGAAGTTGTATGACAATCTCATCAATCATATTATTGCGATCACTTGGAATTACAGGAATTGCAGCCCCAAATATCTAGAATTAGGATTTTAAATTAAACAATAGCTGGTTCTAATAATAATTTGTGACAATGAGTACATTTGGGGACAGACTGGCTCAGGGACACTGTGCCTTCTTTGTGACTTCTTTCACCCAAGAACTGAACTAGAGCTTGTCTTAGCAGAAGCTCCCTGCCATACCCAGCAGTGCCAAGGAACCTCAAGCTGCTTTGCCAGGAACCCAATCCCTTTAGTCTCAATGCCCAGCCACATATATAGAAATTTTGGGCAAAGCAGAAGTGTGTCTAATAGGAGCTTGCCCAGGGGTGAAAACTACTTACCTTCCTTATTGGTTCGGAAATGCACATGCCGCGCGTGCGTGCTTGCTTTGCTTGCTCATGTGCGTGTCACATGCACACGCAGACCCTCTGTGCATGTGCAAAACCTTCTCTGCATGCGCAGAGGGTAAAAAATGCATTACTTCCTGGTTAAAACCAGGAAGTAATGACACCTGGGCGGGTGGGCAGAGCCTCGCGCCTCCATCGCTACCGGTTCTCCTAACCACTTGCCACAATCACTACCAGATCATTTGATCTAGTCCAAACAGGGAGCATTTCACCCCTGGGCTTGCCTATCACTGCCCTGAAACAGAAATGTCATGTCATTCCATACCCATCTTGCTGGCTGCTCTTTCATGGGCTGCCCAACCCAACCAGGATTATAGATCTTGTTGAAACCACCAGAGCTTCATATTAACCTAATAACTTCAAGGCTACAGCATCAAAGATAAGCCCAGAATTTACCTGGGCCTCTTTGGCCCAAATGCAAAAACCCCATAACACCCTACAGAAAAGCACCAGAGAGGCTCCCTTGCTGGTAAGAATCGCATGTGGCATGGTATCCATGGAGCACAAGTTCGCTGAAAATTCCACCCTTTGGGGAAAAATCTACCCAGGTAGGAGACGTCTTCTGATCTCAGAGGACTAGTTGATCTCCCTTGATTAGCCCTGTATTTCTGCCTTTTATGATATTCTTAGGCAAAGATATTGAGAAAATAAGTCACTATCTGCTTCCCAGGCTGGAGGTAGCTTGACCTGCTCTATTTCTGCCAGTCTTGAAGGCACAGCAGAGCAACTGAATAACCAGTTGGCATTAATGGATCATTCTAGTTAGATAAACGCTCCATCTGGAGGGACCACATTGCCTACCTCAGCACAAAAGAAAGGATGGCTGTCTGGAATTTGAATAGGGATCCTTGGTTTTATTAAATCGTTTTAAAATCCTATTTGAACATCACAGTTCCGTATCTCTTTCTCTGTAGGGCTATACTCCTATTCGACACCCTGGTGACTGCTGTCCAACATGCGTGCAGACAAGCTGTGTTATAAGAACAATAGAAAATGACATTGTCATCTTAAAAGTAAGTTTATTTTTTTTTCATAATTATCTTCAGGTAGTAATGCTTTTCTTGGCATTGCTACAGGCTAGAATGTGGAAAAATGTGGGGGGAAATTGAAAATTTGTCACTGCATCAGCACCTTCTCATGATTTTCCTTAATCCACTATCCTTACAATATCTAGGCGTCTGTGTGAAATTTCTCCAGAGGATATGCATTCAGATGAAGCACAAATGAAATTAAAAAAAAACAACAACAACTAATGCACTCCCATTGAATTTATAGTTGTTATAATACAGAATGAATGAAAAAGTGATATAAGAAATAACTATGGGCATATTCATATCTATTTTTTCCACTTGTAAGAAATGGGTTTTCACATATTCATATCTATTTTTTTCCAATTTATTTTGTCTAGTTCACTATTGTAGATTGAGGGGATGAGGTCCTGAGTGGGTTGTTCAATTGTGCCTACAAGCATCAGCAGGGTTAGTCTTAATGGAAATTGCAAGAAAAATAATGGAGACTCGAGGCACACAAATCTCAATAAAATAAGGGTGAGGGAAATTGAGTAACAGTTAGAATGGAAATAAGAAAATGAATGTAGCTTATAAATCAGAAGTTGAAAAACTTCATTCCTTTACATATTTTTTAATTTCTCTAATTTTCTCCGCATTCCATCCTTCTGCTACTGACAAAGGAGCTTCCTTGCTTGGTTTCTTCTCTGCACTCTTTCTAGAGTCTCAATGCCTTTTTTCTGTCATGGCAACCAAAACTGGATGCAATATTCCAAGTGTGGCTTACCAAGGCATTATAAAATGGTATTAACACTTCATGTGATCTTGATTCTATCCCTCTGTTAATGCAGCCTAGGACTGCATTGGCTTTCTTGGCAGCTGCAGCCCACTGCTGGCTCATATTTAAGTGATTGTCCACTAGGACTCCGAGATCCTTCTCACAGTTAATACTATTGAGCCAGTTACACCTTTTCTATACCTGTGCGTTTGGTTTTTCTTGCTTAAATGTAGAACCTTACTTTACTCACCACTGAATTTCATTTTGCTAGATAGGCCCCAATGTTCAAGTCACTCTAGATCCTTCTGTATCTTGAGTCGATCTTCTAGATTGTTGATTATTCCTGCCAGCTTGGTATTGTCTGCAAATTTAATGAGTTCCCCCTCTACCTCTTCATCTCACAGCCGTATTGCTTTGGCCCTCCACACCAGTCCCAGTTTTTCATGTGGCCCTTGGGAAAATTAATTGCCCACCCCTGTTCTATAGCCTCTCACGTCTCAAGTATGAGTGGCACAATTGGTGGGGAAAGGATTGATCATGTTAGTTAATTTTCATTAAGAGGATGCTTCTATTGAATTTCTACTCTGCTCTTTGTGAGAAGAAAGGTTTTTAACAAATAGGAATCTATTTAGTCCTGAATTTATTTCCTTCTTTCAAACAGCCTGGTGAAAGTCGGAATGATCCCAAAGACAACTGTACTATTTACAGCTGTACGATGATTCATAGGCAGCTGATTTCTTCTACGTCTGTGATTAAGTGCCCAATATTTGATGAGAATAGATGCCAATCTGTGAGTGAAAAGTTGAACCTATACATATGATGTTGTGAAAAAAAACCATTTATTTGTTTCAGATTGAATAGGGTAGAAGCAAGAGCTGAATCAAGTAGATTTTATGTGGCTTGCTGGAACAATGTAGCAATTCATACTGAAAAATAAGCAAACAAACAAAGATGGTTCAGGACAGAAAAGTTTATCATTTAAATACAACAATTAATTATTCTTAAACATGTTTTATTCACATTGAGATAACACAGCACAACCCATAAGGTGAAAGGTCAGAGGTTTCAAGAGTTCATTCCCAGAAGTTCTCTGAGTTTATACTTTCTGGCCTGCCCTTTGGTAGGGGAGTGACTAGTAGCTTCTCCTGTCACTACATCTCCAGCCTTGGCAACTTTAAGACTTATGGACTTCAACTCCCAGAATTCCCCAGCCAGCTTTGCTGGGAGTTGAAGTCCACAAGTTGCCAAGGTTGGAGACCTCTGTTTCAGAGAGTCTCTCATCTGGTATGTTCAGCCCAGTATGTAAGATAAGACACTCAGCACCTATAATCGCCAGTGAAAGGAGAAAAATGAGATGGAAAATGAAATAATTCTTCTAGAATTTTAGTATAAAAGTATGTAATGAAAGGTTTTAAGCCTTTCTTCCCCTTTGAGAAACAGTTCCATCTCACAAGAGATAAACAACATTAAACTTTGGGGTATTTTTTTTTAAGAAGAAAACTATAGATGTTCTTTTAAAGTTTAAATAAATGCAATGGTATGTGGGAATGACCTTGGGAGATAGGAAAAACTCCCACAGCCTAGGCAGAGGGTCTTCAAGTCATTCCCACATATTACCACAATGCCCCAAACATTTTTCAATGCTGATGATGTTGAAAGAAATAGATATATTTTGAAGAGAAAAATATCAACTGACAATGTAATATTATACCAAAAGGATATTATTGTTGTTGTTGTTGTTGCTGCTGCTGCTGCTGCTGTTTTTGTTTTTGTTGTTATTATTATTATTATTATTTAAAGAACATTAAAAGTTCTGAAATATTTCAGACAGATATCATCCACTTCTGCTGTTCAAAAATGGATCATGAGCTGTTCTGGTGACAAGACAACTGAGCAATGTGGATATGTTCTTAGGCTGCAGGGTAATCCCAGTAGGATCCATACAGAATAGACAAATACAAACACATGTTTGTAGTTCCAGTATGGAAGGAAGTAATTCTTCCTTCAAATAACTTATGCAGTAAAAGGAATCAGCAGCATGCTCATGTTTAAGATTAGCATATTTTTCTCACTTGTTCTTCATGTAAGAAATAAGATGGAGGGAAAGATGGTTCTCTTCCCTACCTGTCCCATGCAATATCATAAACTACAAATCCCAAAATTCCTAGGAATCATGGTGGGTATTACATTGCAGAACATCAGAGCAATTATTTCAATACAATTTGCAGTTCTAGTAGGTGGTTATACATATTGATGTGTTATTATTTTGTTTGCAGGGCACCATTGTACTCTTGCCTAATGGCTGTTGTAAGACATGTAAGTATTATAAAACTATAAACACTTCCATTCTAAGGAATTAGTCGGTATATAATGAGGAAGGGGGAGCGGCGATTAATTTATATCAATCAATATTTATTTGAGATAGGTTCATCCATTTGTACTCTAGCAAATTATTGCTTTCCTATTGAAGAAAAGGAATACTTTGATGAAATACAAGTGATGCTCATTCTATTGATGCTCTACGTATACATATTTGCTTGATTAATGAACCATGTTAAAAAGAACAATTAGCAAACATGAAAATATCCCTAGTTGTATTTGTGTGATTTAAAGAATGATTGGCTCTAGATAATAAAAGTTTATAGAGCTTTGTTCCTGGGAACATGGTCCCTTCAACGAAACTAAACTGAAAGGTTTGCAAATGTTGCAATATGGCATTCTTAAATGATAGGTTTATTAAGGATTTCCCTTAATTTTCCGTGATGTTTTGGAAGAGATGAAAATCCCACTAAAATGTTAAGGAAACAGAAAGTTTTCCTAGTTCCTTCCAGGAACATGCCTGGAAGAAAGGAAGCGATTATCTACCTGCTAGATTATAAAACTGTACACCTGGCAGAGGAAATGGGATAAGTTCTTATTTTAACAGAATCAAACTATTTTTTTTCAGTGAGCTTGGTGATTGGATAGCAATGTATGGATACTAGGCTAATGATGCTCATTAATATAATTTTTGGTTTAGTTATTTATGCAGTTGTTTTAACTTTTTTTTTTTTTAAGTAATGTGGCATTTGTGTTCAGATAATGCACAGAAAAATTATCTTTCTTTATTTGTTTATATCTTTTTATATCTTTCCAACTTAAAACTAATGGAAGCACCCCCATTTGTACTCTATTGAAAAATTCTATGCAAAAATCAACTTTCAAAAAAGACTCACTCGTTTCATTGGAAAGGTTGATAATGTTTTTTTCTTTTTTAAAATTTGATTTATATGCCGCCCTTCTCCGGAGACTCAGGGCGGCTTACAATGCGTTAAGCAATAGCCTTCATACTTTTGTATATTTATACAAAGTCAGCTTATTGCCCCCACAAACTGGGTCCTCATTTAACCTACCTTAGAAAGGATGGAAGGCTGAGTCAACCTCGAGCCTGGTAAGATTCGAACCTGCAGTAATTGCAGGCAGCTGTGTTAATAACAGGGTGCTTTAAACCACTGTACTACCAAGGTTTAATTTTCCTATCTAAAATATCTGGTTTTGAAAATTTCATGGGCATTCTTTCCCATTCAGATAACCAACCAAATTACATTTAATAGGTATTTGACACAAATTTTGGAGAGAAAATTATTGACTATGCTGAACACTCCATCCAGGAGAGCAAAAAGCTTGAGCAAAAATGCTTGTATTTGAATGACAGTCTTTTTATTCCTCTTGTTTGATAGGTATATTGAAGCCAGATACCCCATCGTGCTCTCCCTCTCAAACAATGGACTACATCAATTACAATGGCTGCCGTTCAGAGGAACTAGTCCCTGTGACTCAGTGTGAAGGAAGATGTGGAACTTTTTCAGTGTACGTAAAATGCTGAAATCCACCGATATGCTTGTGTGCAAGACAATGCCAGATTTCTAACTTTGTTCAAAGTTATTAAATTATCTCTTTTTAAATTCCAAGCTATGAAAGACCATGCAATGATAGAGTTGGGAAACAAATGATTTTGATAAATGAAATAGGATAATGAATGGTTTCCACTTGGAAGAATGATAGGCAAATGGATTATAATAGGCAAATTCCTGATTAATCTATTATTATGGGGAATTGAAAACCTTGAAAGTATTAAACTGAATTGTAGGGAATAATCTTTAGGGCTGTTGCCAAAGATGCAATTTGGTTTTCCTTGGAAAAGCAAGTCGAAGATATGGATTGTAGGGAAAAAAATAAAAATAAAAATTCAGATATTTAAAAAAATGGATGACGTTGAGTGTGTTTGAACTGAGATCTTCCTCCTAAGAAACAATCTTAAATATTAGTTGTCAATATAACCTCTATTGTTATATGAATTACATTAATTATTTTATAATAATATGGACTATTTAAAGATTCTATCCTCTCATTGGACCTTCCAAATTAACAAAGATCAATTTTGGAAGATTTATTAGAGGAGAATTTACAAGACTTTGGGACGAAGATGTCTTCTCAGAGAAGATGCTTCTGCTAGAATTTCTCACTGTCCTTTTTCCTTAACCTCAGTCTCTTGACTCAGCCCACCTTTTCAGTAGAATCATCTGCTATTTGGAGGAACATTTTCATAAAGTCTTATTGTCCTTGGGAAAAAGAAAAGATAAAGCAGTCATCTTCCATATATCCACTTCAATGGGTGAATTTCTGGATCCAACCCTCTGTGGCCATATTTTCTGATGGGTTTTTAAAAATGGTGTTGCTATTGGTAGGAATATAATAAGGTAATCTTGTGGAGTAGGCCAAATAGTGAATATATAGTAGATTCAACTAATTTCCCCCAAGCTCAGCCAGACTTGGGTTACTCTGGTTCTTTTAATTCTCCTAAACAAAAAAGCTTGGGTTTTTCTGCCTTAATTTTAAAAGATGGCACAATATTTGAAGGACATTATACCTTGGCTGCATATTATGGAGGACATAGTTTAAGTTCCTGGAAAATAAGCAGTGGAAATTTTTCTTCTCTTATGGTAGACGTTCTGTAATATCACATCCCCGATCTTCAACAAAAGCACCCTCTTTAAAGAAAGATGAGCAAATGTAACTCTTTCTTCATTTTGCATTATAAAAACAGATACTCTCCCGAAGCTAATTCCATGACGCATAAGTGCAGCTGCTGCAGAGAGTCAAAGATAGCCAAGAAAGAAATCATGCTGCTGTGTCCTGATGGGATCAAAAAGAAACACAGGTACATCCATGTAGAACGCTGCGAGTGCCTGAACACTGGATGTGGTGGCCAGCAAGGCTCCTCAGAAGAATACAGCGAGAACAAACAAAACACCACGCAGCTGCCCCAGGAAGAGAAGGCATTGGAACGGGTCAGGAAAGCTCTGAGGGCTATCGGGAACAGAAATTAAAAGAAGGAAAGCTTTGGAATGAAATAAGATAACTGCTGACACACAGTGAAGAAATATACTGTGACTACTATTATAATCGACCACTTTGCCTTATTTTCTAGGGATGTCGAACCTTGGAAACTTTAAGACTTGTGGACTTTACCTCTCAGAATTTTGCTGACTGGGGAATTCTGGGAGTTGAAGTCCACAAGTCTTCAAAGTTGCCAAAGTTGGACACTCCTTTTTCTACAGCCTTCTCAGTCTGTCCCCATCCCCTTTGACTGTCCTTTACTGTGCTCACTTATTTATTTGCACTAAAAAGAAAAATATTTTCTTCTAAATATATATATATATAAAAATGAAGGATGGATTGTATGACTTGGACTTTTGAATCAGTTTCTTTTGCTTTGGTTAATTAAAGGCATATTTCAAAAACGAGGTCTCCATTTCTGGTTTTGTTGACATGTTTTTGAGTTTCTTAAATCTTGTGCTTCTACTCTTATAAAATTTATGCTTCAGAAGAAATGCTGCTGATCTATGAGGGAAATGCCAGTAACTTGCTGAGTTTCCAGAGGAGTTTTGCTGGATTTTTTCATGGTCTTATTGAAGTCCACTGAACTATAAACACTTACATGCACATGGCAGATGATATTATCCAAGACTGTTTTTGAGTCCATCTGATTGCCTGTGTTCCAAATAAGTGGTACAGTACAATCTCAGATGATATGCCCAAGACTCATATTTCCTTCCAAACTAACTTCTTTTTGATTCCTATATACATCTGTTGAGAATTGTGTTGACTGTGCTGCCAAAAGCAAAGAGCAATGCTGAAAAGTCAATAGAAAAAGTTGAAGAGAGGATGGAGAAAGTGCACATACCTTCAAGTCCATTTGTTCTAATACCATGCAAACTTTTATCGTTGCTTTATGTACAATTTGATTTTCAAATTGAAATGATCATTTCAGATTTTTCTAAGTCCTGCATACTGTAATTTTTACCACTACAGGGAAGTCTTTGACTTCACAGATTAAAAAAGATCTGTCCCATTTTTAATAGTACATACATGAGATTGTGTCTTCTCCGTCATGTACTTTTTCCATGTATGTCACAGATTTCAATAGAATTATATTTTCAGTATACTGTATATTTTCATATATTTTTCTATTGAAAATATTATTATTATATTATTATAATTTTATTTCTATACCGCCCTTCTCCTGCGGGACTCAAGGCGGTGTACAGCCAAGATAAAATATTGCATATAAAATTTAAAAACAATTTAAAAAACAATTAAATAATTTCGGCCCAAGATATTAAAAACAACCCAATTAAAACCAAATTCAATTAAAACTGAGAGGATGGGATCAAGCCAGCCCAGCTAGATGGAATAGGTGTGTTTTCAGGGCCCGACGAAAAGTTTGGAGGTCTGATATTGTGTGTATCTCAGGGGGTAGGTCATTCCAGAGGGTGGGTGCTGCCACAGAGAAGGCTCTCCCCCTGGGGGTCACCAGCGGACACTGTCTGGCCGACGGCACTCTGAGGAGGCCCTCTCTGTGTGAGCGAACTGGTCGGTTGGAGGCTATTGGCGGCAGAAGGCGGTCTCGCAGATAACCCGGCCCTAAGCCATGGAGCGCTTTAAAGGTGGTCACCAACACCTTGAAGCGCACCCGGAAGACCACAGGAAGCCAGTGCAGTTCACGCAGGAGAGGTGTCATATGTGAGCGCCCCGTTGCTCCCATAATCCCCTGCGCGGCCACATTCTGGACTAACTGTAGCCTCCGGGTGCACCCCAAGGGGAGTCCCATGTAGAGAGCATTGCAGTAGTCCAGGCGGGAAGTGACGAGTGCTTGAGTGACCATGCGTAGGGAGTCCCGATCCAGAAAGGGGCGCAACTGGCGTATCAGGCGAACCTGATAAAAAGCCCCCCTGGCCACGGCCGTCATGTGCTCTTCTAAAGACAGCCATGGATCCAGGAGGACGCCTAAGTTGCGAGCCCTCTCCGTGGGGGCCAGTGATTCGCCCCCAATAGCCAGCGATGGCACCAGCTGGCTATATCGGGACGCCGGAAGCCACAGCCACTCGGTCTTGGAAGGGTTGAGTTGGAGCCTGTTTCTCCCCATCCAGGCCCGCACAGCCTCCAGACATTGGGACATCACTTCAAGGGCATCGTTGGGGTGGCCTGGAGTGGAGATGTACAGCTGATATCGTCAGCGTACTAATGGAACTCCACCCCAAAGCCACGGATGATCTCACCCAGCGGCTTTACATAAATGTTGAACAGAAGGGGCGAGAGGACCGACCCTTGTGGCACCCCACACGCAAGGCGCCTCGGGGTTGACCGCTGCCCCCTGTCAACACAGATTGCGACCGGTCAGAGAGGTAGGAGGAGAACCACCACAGAACGGTGCCCCCCACCCCCAGCCCCTTCAACCGGTGCAACATGATACCATGGTCGATGGTATCAAAAGCCGCTGAGAGATCTAACAGGACTAGGATAGAGGAGCAACCCCTATCCCGAGCCCTCCAGAGATCATCCACCAACGCGACCAATGCCGTTTCCGTGCTGTACCCAGGTCAGAAGCTGGACTGGAGCGGGTCTAGATAGACAGCTTCATCCAGGTACCGGGGAAGCTGCAGCACCACCACACTCTCAACAACCTTCGCAACAAAGCAAAGGTTGGAGACTGGATGATAGTTAGCCAATACAGCCGGATCCAGAGAGGGCTTCTTGAGGAGGGGCCTCACCACCGCTTCTTTCAAAGCGGCCGGCAGGACCCCCTCACTCAAAGAAGCGTTAACAATCCTCTGGAGCCAGCCTCATGTAACCTCCCGGGAAGCCAGTACCAACCAGGAGGGACACGGGTCCAATAAACATGTGGTCGCGTTCAGCCGTCCCAGGATCCTGTCCACGTCCTCGGGAGCCACAGGATCGAATTCCTCCCAGATAACACTCTCAAGACTTGCCTCAGTCATCCCGTCCGGACTTACCCAGTCAGAGGCCAGGCCTTCCCGAATCTGAGCGATCTTCTCATACAGATACTGCACAAAATCCTCAGCTCGACCCTGCAAGGGATCATCCCGCGCTTCCAGATGGAGGAGGGAGCGGGTCACCCTAAACAGGGCGGCTGGGCGATTATCTGATGACGCGATAAGAGCGGCAAAATAACTAGATTTCGCCGCTTTTATCACCACTAGGTAGGTCTTAATATGAGACCTCACCAGTGTTCGGTCGGATTCGGAACGGCTGGTCCTCCAACTACTCTCCAGGCGTCTTTTCTTTTGAAATATTTTCAATAGAAAAATATTTTCAGCACTGCAGGCTATAAGCCAGTTTGATCGTACTATCAATTTTCTGTGAAAGGATTTAAAACTCCCCATTTATTAAGTCAATTAACTGGAAACTCCCCATTCTCTTCTACATGTCCATATTTCAGGGGTTTTGTGTGTGTGTGTGTGTGTGTGTGTGTGTGTGTGTGTGTTGTAAACTGCCCCAAATCTTTTGGGAGATGGCCATCTGCCAAATGAATAAATAAGTGTGGTGTGTGTGTATGTGTGTGTGAGAAAAAGAGAGAGAGAGAGAGAGAGAGAGAGAGAGAGAGAGAGAGAGAGAGAGAGGGAGAGAGAGGGAGGAGAGAGAGAGACGGAATCAAGAGTGGGTTCTACTTACTTTTACTACCGGTACGCAACAGGGCCATGTGTGTGCTTGCTTCGCTCGGGTGACATCGGGGTCGGTGGGTGGAGCCTACCACTGGTTTTACTACTGGTTCTATAGAACCGGTGCAAACCAGGGGCAACCCACCATTGGAGAGAATGAGTTAAATTTTACTCCTGGTTCTGCTGTCAAAAGCATAAACATTCAATGGTAAAGAATATAAACTATTCAAATGGGAAATTTTCAAAGAATCTGCTGTAGAAAAAAATAAAGAATATATACTCTATACAGAGAGCGTAGAAATCTTTGGCAGACAATAAAATAATGCTGGTTTACTTCTTTTAAGAAACAACTCTTCAGTAAGGCAATTCCAAGTGGCAAAAATATTCGATGCTAAGCTTGTGCAGAATCAAACACACAGTCAAAATAACAATCATATAGTATTTCTAGCTAATTTTGTTACTTATTTCTTAGGATGAGTAGGCACTTAAAGCCCTTTATTTGTTTTTTCTTGTATGATTTCCCCAGCTTCTTGTAGATGATAGAGGGTCAGGAATAATGCTTCCTAGCCCTAGTATCCCTTTCAGGTAAATCTCTAATGTTAATGTGTAAACTGAGTATTAATATAAAGTAAATGCTACTCTATGGGAAATGATCCATGGAAAATGTTCTTACAAAGGCTATAAATCTGGAACTTTATAGGCCAGGAGTGAAAAGACAAACCTGACATATCAATACAATAGGAAAATTTATAAGCTGCAATAGTATCAGTTTACTGCCATAACTTCTATTAGATACAGCTATTAGAAATTTTATTCATGGTGCCTCCTCACCCTCACCCCACACCCCATTACAATGATATGCAACAACAGAAGTTTTCACTTCCTGTGTTTTCCCGAAAATAAGACCCTGTCTTATATTTTTTTGAACCTCGAAATAAGCGCTTGGCCTTATTATGGAGCAATGTGGGGCTCTTCTTGCCATTTTACCTGATTTCCAGCCCTGTCTCCATAACTCTAACAAGAGGAAATGGCAGGGACCAGCTGCGTATGTGTTTAAATATTTTTTGGGAGGGCTTATTTTCAGGGGAGGGTTTATTTTCGGGGGAGGGCTTATTATCCGGGGAGGTCTTATTTTGGGGAAAACACGGTAAAAATAATGGAATCGTAAAAAGCAAGTTATGCAGTCATCAGGATTCAAGACCAAGTCAAAGGCATAAAATGAATGAATGAATAATAACTCAATAGTTATTATTTTTCTTATTTTAATTAATTCTTGCTACCAACTAATTCTGGTCGGCAGGAAGAGAGGGAGATTCTCTGTTATTTCAAACATCTCTGATTACTCCTGCACGTCTGATACCAGGTCCACTTTAGGTGTATAGCTTCATTCAACTCCTTTACCCATGCATAATCTATCTTCTGCAATCCGTTCTCATAGGCATAGAAAATCTGAATCTATTTTGCTTATTGGTAAGAGTATCGAGTAAATGGATTTATTGTAAAGTTCACCAGATAATTCAAATATTTTAGGTTTTTGTCTAATATCCTAATGGCTGCATCATCCTAGTCCACTCTATCACATTCCATAATGGCCACCTGGGAGAAACAAAATGCCTGGCTAACATGGGTACTGGCATTCAACAAGCATCATTAATATGCTTTTATATTCTAATATATACTCTAGTTGAGCCTCACAGGTGAGTAAAACTGAGAACACCTAGTAGTGTACATAACAGTCCACAGCAAACAGAATGGGAAGTAAATTCTGAGGTCAGGTCACA